ACATTCTTGCAGTCGTTGCAAACTCCTCCACAACGCATTTCACCCCACATCCAAGACGACGAATGGATCAAGACAACGTCGTATCCCAAGGCCTTCAAGCACCTGAAAGCTGCGAAGCCCTGACCAACCGATCTATGGCGGCCTGATTTGCACTCCAGGTCCACCAAGATCCTTTCCTGCTGATGCTGGGTGACGAACTCCAAGATGCTATTGAGATGCTCGTTGAACTTGTCCACCTTGCTCAACGTCTCGAGGATCCTATGGTGCCAACCCACATGAGCTCTGAGACTTACGTCCTGATCAGGATCGTAAATGTCTTCACAGTTGATGGAAAGGGTGGCACGATTGGACCTCATGGCATGTCGTTGGAATCGTCGACCTCGAGTCACAATGATCACCTGTCTGTTGCTAAGCTGTTCTTCATTCAGTTTTGATTGCAAGACGTCATAGTCCCTTGAATGAAAACCAGTCTGATCGTGATCGGCCATGGCGCAGTCACTTGTCGATGCAGTGTACGCCAAGTTATACTTTCTATGACACTTTGGAATTTTGGGAAGCTCATTTGGTGGTGTGTTGATGATGTTGGTCAATCCTTCAGTCAAGTTCATCACAAGTAAACCTGATTTGGAACATCTCTTGATATTCAATGGTTGATCTTTGATGGAAATCACCCCTTTTGCTAGGTCCTTCACTAGGCCTAACTTGGTTTGCGCATGCAATGAAAGAAGCAATGGGCTGTTGCCTGTTGACAATTGATACGAATCCAACTCCCCATGCATATTCCCGTCTGGAAGCAGCAGCGAGAAAGGAATAGATCTCACACCTTCGGTCTTGGTACTACCACTTCCCAGACCAGCAAAACTCTTACAACCATCATCCTTCAATGGCATACTGTAACCCAATCGGGCCAGTCGTGCTTCTGCATCGACTGCCCAGGCTTTGCTATGACAAGTGCTGTTGCAACCTTCATCCAACACTGCAAAGACATGGGATGACCTGGCAATGTCAACAGTTTCAAAGTTCATGTAAACCAAGTCTTGAGGGTATTGAATGTCACTTCCATGCAAACAGATGCCAACGTACCCAGCTAACTCCCTGCCCGAGGGGTCGCTGTGCCCATCTTCATTGACAAAAGAAAAACTGTCCTCTTCCTCTGTCACGTCATTGATGGCTTGATGGAGTAGTTCATGTAGACGTGCACGGGTCATGACCTCAGATTGGCAGGTTTCGGTAACAAGAGTGGCAAACAGGGGCAACAACTCTTCCAACTGGACTGGATTCAATCCATCCGATTCTTCAACCAATGATTCAACAATGGGGACTGTTCGAACTGATGCGGTTTCAACCTTCTTGGCAATGGCAACACGCTCCTTGCGAATCTGCATAGGAGCTTCATCAATGAAAGTGCAACACTTCTTGCAGAAAGTACGGTGTGTTGATTTGCTGGATCCCCTAAAATCGGTGTCATCATGAGGGCAATTTTCAGGGGACATCAACGGTACCATGTCACGCCTTGTTGTTTCGGAATGACCGCACACAAGACAGGTCTTCCTGATGGTGTATCCCGTAGAACCTTGTTTTGTAAACTCACGACATTCCTGACACTTGTTCGGCAAAGGAGGATTTGGGGGTTTCTTTCTGCCAGTTCCCCGAGCCACCAACAAATCTCGGTGCTCGACATGCTCAACAGGGACTTCGCGCAAGTGAATCCCATCAGCACCAACCACAAAGTACTTGTCAACCCAATTCAACCATGTGACATAGTATGGACTCTTGGGGGTATGTTTCTTGGCATGATGATAGTACCCTGTCTGTTCAAACAACACATTCCAAAAAGACAAACCCTTGAACTGTCCAACAGGAAAGATGCACCCATGGTCCTCGGGTCTCATTGTAACATCGAGATCCCGGGAAATCAAGCCAACGTTGCTGCTGGATGCTGCTGCACGTGAAGGTCGACTGCTGGGCTTCGCTTGTCGAACTGCCATCATAGCAACTCCATCTCTGTCACGATCAGGTGAAGCCGTCAAAGTCACACCATCGTCATCTGAAGAATCGCTCATGTCGGCAAAGTGAGCTGCGGGCTTTGGAGCTGACTTTCCAGGGGCTCCGGCTTTCGACCCCGGGAATTTACATTCCGGGTCACCGGCCCAGTGCCCTATGACTCCGCATCTCAAACATTTGCTCTTCGACTTCAGCTCTGTGAGCTTACGTCTCCTCTGATCGATAGTGAGGTTGGACTTCACGATCTTTCCTTTGCCTTTTCCTTTGGGCTTCCCGAAGGATTTGCCCTTGCCACCTGCTTTCCCCATTGCGGTGAAAGCAGCAAGTTGTAGCTGGATAGCGTCTCCTGCCTGTCGATCATCTTCTGCACCTTCAACTTCAAGCAAACTGTTCAATGCAACTGCTTCGTACTCATCGACGTCGTCAAAGTAATCAAATTCGTTGTCACCTTCTAGGTTTCCTGGCTCCTCTTCTGCAATGTCACCAAGCATGCCAACATATGAATCATCCTCCCAGGATTGATTCGCAGTTTCATCCCAAGATTCTGCATGTTCCTCCCCATCATCGGGGTAGGCTGCATAAGCGGCTTGGGAATACGATCCCTTCGAAGAAGGTTTGCCTTTGCCATAACCCTTGCCTGACGACTTGCCATGCTGTTGAGGATTACCACGTCCTATCCAGGATCGTGATCCTTCTCGCAAGTGAGTGCCACTGTAGTTCTCGATCAGCACCTTGCCAACACCTTCAAAATCCTTAGTGTCTGCACAGGCCTTCACAACGAGGATCTCCTGTCGATTGAGCCCACTCAACTCTAACATCAACTCTGTCCTCAAGCTGTCTGAAAACACCATTGTGTCATCCAACTCGCATAGCATGTGCCACCAACGTCGTCTCCTCTGAACATAGGAAAGCATGGGTTCGCCTGGTTGGCGAGACAAAGGACCACCTTGCTTCTGTCCTGCTCGAAATAATTCCTTGGCTTCCTCACGGGCTCTTGGAAACACATGGGATTTGATCTCACCCACAAGTTTCACAAGGCCACCAGGTTTGGACAACACTTCAAGTCCAAGATCCCTAGCTATTGAGAAAGCATCTCCTCTCAGTCCTTCAATCACCTTGTTAACCAATGGTCCACGATCAATGTCTGTCTTCTGCTTGCCGGACTTCGAGGATTTTCGGCTCGCTCCAGACTTCGGAGTCGAGACTGCTGATGTAGGCTGGGCTGCTTGAGTAGCACCCGACAAATCTGGAAAAGTAACATACTCATCTGCGTCTTCTGCGGCAGGCTCTGTTGCTGTGGTCCCAACGGGATCCGCAGGCTTACTTGTCTCCTCCTCCAATTGTTGCTCATAAAGACGAATCCGAAGGAGAGTCCTGAACTGCCAATCATGAAAGTTCGCCGCATCACCTGCATAGATGTACGATCCACTCTTTGTCTCAAGTGGTGCCGACGAATGGCGTTCCTGATTGAAACGAAGGCCATTGATCGACATGATGCTCGCTCCGTTCGGAGTCGAACAAGGAAAAACGTTAACAAGTGTCTGCCCTGGTCAGGGTCAGACAGATTCCCGAACCACGACACACTCGAAGTTCAGTTGATTCCCAAAGTTACCAGACTCAAATTCACAAAGGGTTCCCTGGGTCACTGACGTACCACCGGATGCAGGTCGTCACCTGCTCCGCTACCAATATGAATTGGAAACGGGATCGTCAAATGCCCAACTTTTACCACGGCAGCGCGGTATGACTCAAGGGCCCTAAAGCCAAATGTCAACGGGGCATGTGATCACTTGGCTATACAAAATATACATTAGACAGGTCAAACTCACACAGGTTATGACTCATGAGTACTGCATAGCACATTCAAATGCCGAAGGCCCTGCTGCCCTGCGAACCTCTTCTTGGGCTCGGCAATCGGAAGACCATCTCCGCCACCGACAGATGCGCCAGCATGTGTACTGCGTCTCACTGGACATGGCTTGAGATGCTTGCAGCGATTCCATGAGAAGCACAGCTTTGCAGCGTTCGAGACTGAGGCTGCTTGACCAATGATTTTGGCTGTACCTTCTATGTTCTATGTTGAAAAACCCCTGTAATGCATATAATATAAATCAGGATTCTGGGGCCTGGGTTTTAATTTTGGAGGGTTTCTGGGTGTTAAAACTGGTTTTTGAATGGTGCAGGATACATATCAAAACGGTGTTGGCTCAGCACTATTCGTTAGTGGTGTTTTATCCAATTCTGCTCTGGCCTGCTCTGGTTTACATATGCATGGTTTATTCAGGCTACCTCCGTCCAGGTCGGCCCAGGTCCGCCTAAGTCTGCCCAGGTCAATCCCAACTTGCAGGTTCTCCCAGGTTCTCCCAGGTTCTCCCAGGTTCTCCCAGGTTCTCCCAGGTTCTCCCAGGAAATTAGTGATTTCCTGCGATTTGTGGGTTTCCGGGATTTCCTGGGAGAACCTGGGTGTTATTTTCTGCGTTTTTGTGGGTTTCCGGGATTTCCTGGGAGAACCTGGGTGTTATTTTCTGCGTTTTTGTGGGTTTCCGAGATTTCCTGGGAGAACCTGGGTGTTATTTTCTGCGCTTTTGTGGGGTTTCCGGGATTTCCTGGGAGAACCTGGGTGGAAACAGTTGGGGATGGGCCTGGGAGAGCTGCAAGAGTTAGTTCGGGGAAAAGTGGCTGGAGGGTGGCCCGCTATTTTGACCCGCAATTCTGCCGCAGGCGTTGCCGCCCCCTTTGGCCTGCAGGTTTGCCACGCTTTAAAGTTTAGTTATAAGCATTACAGGGGTATAGCAAGTTCTATGTTTTTTTTTGTGCGGTTGGCATGCTCTGATAATTTTGAAGGACACCCGTTAAAACCTGTTAAAACCTGTTATATACATGTGATGCCAACACTGCTTGTAGGGAGAGAGAGAGAGAGAGAAAGGGACACAAAGAATTGGTGCCATTCCGTTTCCTGACTCAGCGAAGCAGAGGCGCCTCAGCCGTCAACAGCGATGCCGCCAGATCCAGCAGTCAATCGTGTCCGCTACAACGTTCAGGACTGACAGTGACCATCAGGTGTTGCAGCATCAGCTAGGATTATGATATTGAGAGCACACTAACCTTCAATTTTAGCTTCTCACTAGCCTGCATCCAACCAAAGTGCCATAGATACCATAGTGACAGGTGCACATGAGCCAGCCTCCCTTTGAATTTTCCTGTGCCTCCCACGTTTCCTTCTTTGCCAACGCAAGGACTACAAGGTCCGCGGCCTGGATTGCATGAAGATGTGGCCATGGATGAGGGATCTGCCCACTTCCGTTTGGGCGGGTCATGGTTGGGCTTTTGATGAGAACGGGCTCCGAAGGCTCTCATCCTCAGGCGGCAGCCATGCGATGCAAGGCGTGGAAGTCTTCGAGTCTGTGGGTCTTGCAGAAGAGGAGGTGAAACCTTCAGGCGGAAAGATCAAAGAAACCCCAGCTGCAGTTGCAGCTGCTGAGAATCCACCACCACCTTCTGAAGAGCAGAAACCAAATAAATTCGCAAGAAACAACATTGCGAAGCAAAGCGGCGTAGCAGGCGTGCTGTGGAACAGAAGCGCTTTTGCCTGGGAGGTCCAAATACCGAAGTCTGACTCAAAGGGCAAAAGGATTGGCAAGACCAACCGAACTTTTTCCGTGAAAAAGTTCATTGGCCCAGGCATCTCCGAGGCCCAGGCGGACGCAGCAGCTCTCGCGGCTGCCGAGGCCTTCCGTGCAGAGCTGGTGGAGAAGGGCATCCTCAGCGAGCCCAGGCAGAAGGACCCCAACTTCACCAGCGAAGTGCCGGGGGTGTCGTGGTACAAGAACTACAAAAAGTGGGTGGTGCTGATCCGCCCCAAGGGCGGCAAGAAAGTGATCCACGGCGGCTACTTCACCGAGAAGGCGGCGGCCGAGGCCAAGGCCTTGGAGCTCCGGGAGAAGGACGGCCTGCAGCGCCGGGTGAAGCCCGTGGCTACGCTGTCGGAGCTGCCGGTGTTCCACCCCAAGGTGCCCTACCGCGGGGTGAAGTGGGACGTGGGGGAGCAGCTGTGGCATGCCCGATTCCGTGCTGAAAATGGTCATTTCAGGGTGAGGCCCAAGGACCACTCGGAGGCGGAGCTGGAGCGTTCCTTCCAAGTTGCCGTGGCGTGGAAGAAGAAGCAGGAGAAGGAGAAGCAAAGTAATGCTATGAACCAATAGGCCAAGATTAGGAAGTAGTGACGGTGACTGCACAAGCCACACAAGAAATGCATAGCCTGTTTTCCACCCAATGTCCTGACAGACCACTCGCATATCACACTGTTCTTAAAAGAAGATTAGAATCGCTCTTCTATGCCTCAGTTGGGGGGTTGGCTTGGATGAAGATGTGTAAGGGCAAGGCATGGTACAGGCCCTTGTTGGCAAACCATCGCGGAATACTTTTCTAACGCCGCCAAAAAGCCGATGATGGGCACATTTTCAACATGCAATGTAACATCGTTTTGTGGTCACCCAAGTCATCACATCCCTGCCCAGATGCTGAGCCAGATGTGCCGAACACCATTGCTTGGGGATTTATTGTGTAATATGGTGTATTATTATCGTGTTGACATCATGTTGAACTACCGACTTGGTGTAGGCACACACACACAACCCTATTTGTCTAGCAAGTCTACAATATCTGGCGATTCTTGTCCTCGTCCACCGTCCACCCTGAAACTTCACATCCAAATTGGTAGGAACATATAATATATGCCATATGCTAATATATTCTCTGGAGCATCCATGGTTCCAAGGTCTCAGTATGTCATAGTATGTCTCAGTCTTTGCTTGAAAACAATCATTCGGACATATACCATACATCATATGTATGTATGCATATAATATTACATAATCACACACAGATTATATATGTTGTCCTGCCCCAGGAGTAAAGGTGAAGCATGTGTATGTTTTGAATGCAGCTTTTGGCTCAGCAACTGATGGCCACGGTGGCTGGTTGTACCAGCTGTCGTGGCAAATTTCCCCTCCTAGAATCGGGAGGGGTCGAGTGCCAGGTGTGCACTGCCTTCCACCGCCTGCGGAACTTGGTGTGGGGAGCCAGGTTTCCAGGCGAACTGGGAGTGACCGCCAGTAGGGCACTCCACAGCTGCTACTTGCAGCTACTACAAGAGGCAGATCAGTTTTACTTTCAGCTGCCGTCAGCTGGGGTACAACTTCTGCCAAACGCCCCAAAAGGGAGTGAGCCGCACACTCCTGACCAAGAGGGCCGCGACCGCAAGAAGAAGGAAAAGGAGAAGAAAGACCGCAAGGACAAGCACAACAAGGAAAAATCTCCTGGAAGGGAGAGAAAGAGGAAGCACAAGGAGGTAAAGGAGGAGATCGCCGAAGAAGCGCCACCAGCTGGGAAGGAAAAGAAAGCACATCGTCGTGAAGACAGCCGCCATAGGGAGGAGACCAGCCGCCGAGTCAAAGAGGAAAGCCCAAACGCCGAAAGAGAAGGCCTTGCCAGTGTGAAAGAAGAAGAAGTTGAGGAGTGGGAAGACGCAGAGAGTGAGACCGAGACCGCCGACGAAGCCAGCAGGAGCAAGAGTCCCTTGCCCAGGAGGAGGGGTTTGAGCTCCCCGGTCCGGCCCGCTTCCCCTCCGGGACCTCCTCCTGCCCGGGAGGCCCGTGAGAACTCCAGGCCGCCAGGTGGTGGTCAGGGCCTATTCCGGCGGGTCATCGGAGGCTGGCCCCTGAGGAGGAGCCGGGGGTCCCTCCAGGGTTGGCCCCCAAGGTAAAGGCAAAGAAAAAGAAGAAGAACAAAGGTAGAAAGCATAAGGAGAGGCAGGAAAGGCGGCGAGAGGAGAGGCAGCATCGGGAGAGGGGCCGGCGATAGGCCTCATGCCCCCAAAGGTCGCCAGGAGACCTGCAGCTAGAGTCAGGCAGGCGGCAAAAGCAAAAGCCGCAGCCAGGCTTGGGTTGAGGAGACCGGCACGTGCGGAAGGTACACCTCAGGAGCTTTTTGAAAGATTTGAAGAGGTCAAGGCGTGTGCCGTGGACCCCTCCGAGCTGCTCACCTGCGGGAAGGTATGGTGCACCGAGGTAGTGTATTGGAAAGAGAAGACCCAGTGCGCGGGCGTCTTCAAAAGCCTGCGCTTCGAGGAGGGAGAAGGATGGATGGAGTTGCAGGTGGCTGGGACTACCAGCGAGCATCTCCTGAAGCACCTCAGTGGGGTGGCCGGGGGGAGGATCCGCGGCCACCTTTGCCCAGAAGGGTGCGCTCAGGAGATCAGTGCCGACGACATCCTTCACCTCGTCAAGGTCAAGAAGGTCAAGGCCGGAGAAGAGGAAGACTGGATGAAAAATCTCCTGGCAGCAGGGGGAGATCAAAGAGACGAACTAGAAGCCCTTCGACGAGAAGCTCGCCTTGGAGGAGGCGCCAGTCCCCTGAGGGAGGCGGGGGACGGGGCAGCACAGGACAAGAAGGCGAAGAAAGAAAAGAAAAAGGCAAAGGAGAAAAAAGCAGAGGAGAAAAGGCCACGGTCTCCCAGTCAGGGAGGTCAGAAAAGAAAGGGAGGAAGAGATCTGGGGGTGATCCTGGGAGGAAGCGGTCTGGATCCAGACCCCCGCAAAAGAAAACGTTACTTGAAGAAAGCAAAGAAATTGATGAGGCGTCACAAGCGGAAGAAGAAGTCCAGCAACAGTTCCAGTTCGAGTTCAGAGAGGGGGAGCAGCAGAAGCTCCAGCAGTTTTTCAAGCATGGGGGGGGCCTCCGAGGTGTTCGGTCAGACCCGCATGGCAAAGCGGTTGGCCGGGAGGTTTCCGGGAGTGCTGACAGCGTGCTCCTTGGCCGCCATGCAGGAACAGCTGTTGACCACGCAAGGTCAATTGTGGGAGATCGACAAGAGGGAGATCCCACCTCTCTTTCTACAGTATTTCCGAAGCAATCTTGCCTCCCGTATGACACCGGCCATGCGTCGAGAAGCTCTTCATCTTTCGGTCTGCTTGGATTTGGGCCTACAAGGCCGCATTCCAGAGATGCTGGATGTCTTGGGGCAACGTCTCAAGGCCTTAGAGAGCCAGACAGCAGGCAAGCATTGGACTGTGACCACACAGTTCGAGTTGGTCCCAGAGGAACAGGGATCGGTAGCCACAAGTCAAGAGACCGAAGCAGCAATGAAGGAAGCCAGAGAGGCTGGGAAATTGAGGACCCAAGCCTCTCGAGCCTTCGGAACCTCGACGGGCCAAGACAGATGGGAAGATTGGAGGCGAGATCAGCCCAAGGGCAAGGGCCAGAAAGGACAAGGCAAAGGCAAGGACTGGAGGAGAGAAGGCAAGGGCGATTCCAAGGATCCACGGCGGGAAAAAGAAGGCGACAGAGAGAAAGAGAAGGCCAAAGGGAAGTGAGGAGACAGGATGAGACTTATAAGCCCCCTGGAGTGCAGGTACCAGGTTGGGGGGCGGGAGGTGGCATGTCTCCTGGTGAGGGCGCTATGGAATTTGGTACAAGCGGTCTGGCTCCTAGTCTGGGAGCCCCATTGCGGAAAGTATGTGGCGGAGTTGCGGATGTGGGGGTTGGATCTTCCCCGGATCTGACCCCTGGTAGTTTCTTGGCTGAAGGAGAGAAGGCCGGGCCGTCCCGGGAGTACCTCCCAGCCACGGGCCAAACGGGCCCTGCCGGTTTTTTAGCACAGGAGATCGGCGAGTTGGCTGGAAAGAAGCTGGTTGCCATGGGGAACCTTTTGAATAAGATTTTGGATGACTTTTGTCTTTTTGAGGTGGTGCGTAGCAGGCCTCAGTCCTTGGGTTCTGGAAATAATTGTATTTTTCCGTTACCCTTGTCATCTGAGATCATCGAAGGGTCCTCATGTCCAGATATGGTGCGAGCCACTTGCCGTGCCCTGAACATGCTGTACGGCGTGACCGATGAGCGTGAAAAACAGACAGAGAGTGCTGCGTGTTTGGGTGCCCTGAAATTTGTTTGTCAATGTGTGGATGGGATGCAGGGTTGGTCTGAAGTTTTTCCTGATATTTGTTTCGATATTTTCTTCCGGTCCAAAGGCGTGGACTATCGCGGGGAAGATGTTAAAGTGGCACAGAAATTTTGCTGGGCTTCTATAGCCCCCGCTTTGCCTCCTGAAGTGGGAGGGGTTTCACTCGTGGATTTTGCTACATTGGGCACAAAGTTTTATATCCAAAATTTTCCTGACTTTCTGGTTCCTCCGGAAAAACGGTTTTTGGGAAGGGCCCCCACTGTGATGATCAACAACGAAGACTGGTTTGAAGTGTGTCGGGGGCTGGTGGAACGTAGAGTATGTGGTATCATTCCTCTTGAGGATGTGTGCCATATTCAGGGCAGACCCCTGCTGGGGGGCCTGTTTGGCATTGGAAAAAATGAGTTCATTGGGAATGTCGAAACGCAAAGACTTATCATGAATTACATCCCTTTGAATGACAATTGCAGGCCTTTAGATTCTGACATTGCAACACTTCCAGGTATTGCGGGGCTATCTCCTTTCATGTTGGAGGATGGGGAGGTAGCCCTTATTTCCTCGGAAGATATTAGATGTTTTTTCTATTTATTTGGTCTGCCGAGCTCTTGGTTTCCTTTCTTAGGGTTCAACAAGGAGGTACCGCCCGAACTGGTTCCTCCTCAGTTCAAAGGCAAACGTTGTGTGCTTCATTCCAAGGTTTTGCCAATGGGTTTTCGAAATTCGGTGGGAATTGCCCAGCATATCCACAGGAATGTCATCAATGCTGCTTTGAGTCAGGCCTCCCCTAGTCTCGGGGGTGAGCTTGAAATGCGGAAGGATCGTCCCGCCACCTGTGCCAAGACCTCCTATCGGATCTACTTAGACAACTTTGATGTGATCCGCAAGACTGACCCAGCAACTGCGGAGGCAGTACAAGGCACACCGGGGTTGCTTTCATTGCTGGCGCGCCAAGCGTATGCAGAAGCCCATCTACCCCGGCATCCTCGGAAAGCAACCTGTCAAGAAAAGTGTGCTGAAGTTCAAGGGGCTGTGTTGGATGGGGTTTTAGGCATCGCGTATCCTAAACCCCAGAAGGTCGGTCTTTATGTCAGCTTAGCACTGGAGCTTCTTAGAAGGGGTGCGGCTACCCAGCGGGAGATGCAAGTGGTGTGCGGGGGGTTTGTTTACTTTGCCCTCTTTAGGCGCCCCCTGTTATCTGCTTTGAATGCCGTGTGGCACTTCATTGAAAGCCTAAAGGGCGAGCCACCGGTGGTGCGTGTCCCGCTCCCCGCAGCGGTACGGTTGGAACTTGCTCGATTCTGCGCTCTTGTACCGCTGGCACGGCTGGATTTCAGGCTGATGTGTCAAGGAGAGGTCACCTGCAGTGACGCCTCCTCCTCGGGGGGAGGAGCATGTGTCTCCAGGGGTCTCTCAGCTTTCGGAGCTGCGGCAGCCAATGCCAATGTCCGTGGGGATATTCCGGAAGAACACGACCTTATTCAGGTTTTGTCAATAGGTCTTTTCGATGGGGTTGGTTGCCTGCGCATAGCATGTGACCTCCTGGGGCTGGCAATGGCAGGGCACGTGAGTGTCGAAAAATGTGCGGAAGGACGCCGAGTGGTGGAGGCGGCATTCGCAGATTCCATCTTTGTCGAGGATGTGGCGCTTGTAGACAAGGCCATGGTGGCAGAGTGGGCTGGCCGATTCAGCCAGGTGGGTCTGGTGTTGCTCGGAGCAGGACCTCCCTGTCAGGGAGTGTCCGGGCTCAATGCGGACAAGCGGGGGGCCCTGAGAGACTCCAGAAGTTGTCTCTTCCAGCATGTCCCGCGCATTAAGAAGCTGCTTCGTGAAGGTTTTCCTTGGGCCCAGGTGCGCTGCCTCATGGAGTCAGTGGCCTCCATGGACAGGCAGGATCGAGCGATCATGAGTGAGGCCATTCAGGAAATTCCTTTCAAAATCAATGCTTCAGGCATCTCCTTGGCAAATCGCCCACGCCTGTATTGGTGTGACTGGGAGTTGCTTTCTATGGAGGGAGTTCAAATTTCAAAGGTGGACCACCCGAAATGGGGAGATTTCCATGAGATCTCCTTGCAAGCCACGGTGGATCCAGCGGATTTCTTGGAACCAGGCTGGAAGCTACAACATCCGGGCCAACGTCTTCCTACGTTTACTACATCTCGCCCCAAGAACGTTCCGGGGCGGAAGCCAGCTGGCCTGCATTTGTGCAGCCAAAAAGAGCGAAACCGGTGGGAAACCGATTCATTTCGGTTCCCCCCCTACCAATACAAGGATGAAAAAAAACTGTTTGGTGAACCGTCGGGGAGAATTTCGCATCCCGTCGCTTTTGGAACGGGAAGTCATCATGGGGATGCCTGCCCATTACACCCAGTTTTGTCTACCAAAATCCCAGCGCACCAAGGAACACTACAACGACCTACGTTTGTCTCTGGTTGGCAATGCGTGGTGTGTGCAGGTGGTGGCCTGGCTAGTCAGCTGCCTAGCGGCCCCACTGGGCTTGTGTCCCCTCTTCAACCCCCAGCAAGTGGTGCAAGCCAGTCGGCCGGGAGGGGCTGGGGAGCTGCAACGGCTCCTGTTGAGGCCTCCCATCCGTAGGGAGTTAGCCATACCGGCTACTCCTGGCGTGGGTCTTGTGCGCAAGTTGGCGGGTTTGGTATCCATGAAAGGAGAGGACCTGCTGTTGCAGGCCTCTTCGGACCAGCAGGTCAAGTTCCAACGCCTTAGGGCCTCTTTGCCGTCCCGGCTCTGGCGCTGGAAAACCATTGCGGGTTCAACCCGAACATATTAATGTGCTTGAATTACGTGCGATCTTTACCACCGTTCGTTGGTGGGTTACTCAAAGAAAAGCGGCTTCCTGCAGATTTGTGCACTTGACAGATTCGCTTGTATGTCTGCATGCGTTAAGTCGAGGCCGCAGCAGCAGCAGGAAAATGCGGAGGACCATGGCAAAACTGAACAGCGTGCTCCTGGCGTGTAACCTTCATCCGGTTTGGGCTTATGTGCACACGGCGGATAATCCGGCCGATCGGCCGAGCCGCCGTAAGGTGAAAAAGAAATGGGCAAAGTAGCCAAGCGACACGTTGAAGGTCGCACGAGGGAGCAACGCATCGCTGTTAGGAAGAAACTTGGTCCTCTACAACAACTCACGGTTCAATCACGTACAAAAGATCGCTATGCTCAAGCACGTCAGGGGTTTTACTCCTTTCTGAGACAAAATCAGGTTACCATCCCCCACAGGCGGGAGTTTTTAGACCCTTTGGTTTCCGATTACATTGAGTTTCTTTGGTCTACTGGTGAAGGCCGTTCAAAAGCTAACGACACGGTTGCGGGGTTGCAGGATAAAGACCCAAAAATCAGAGGGCACTTGCCCGCCTCATGGCGGCTCCTGAAAACTTGGAGCCTCAATGAACTCCCGAACAGAGCACCCCCCTTTCCTGAGAAGGTGGTGCAAGCAATGGCAGGATATGCCTTTGCTAATGGGGAGTTTAATTTTGGCTTGTCGTTGCTTTTGGGTTTTTACTGTATGCTCCGAACTGGGGAACTTTTGGGTCTTTGCAGCCACCATATCTCCATGGCCTCCCCAAAAAAGGTTGCTATCATCTCACTTGGACTCACCAAGGGAGGGCAACGTCAAGGAGCTGCGGAGTCAGCGACGCTGGGAGTTTTGCCAGTTTTACAACTCCTTTGGAAATGGAAACAAGAGCAGAAGCCTAATTCGGCCCTTTGCCCGGCACCACATAAATGGCGAACAATGTTCGCTAACACTGTGCGAAAACTCAAATTGGAAGACCATGGCTTTAGGCCCTATAGCCTGAGACGGGGTGGTGCGACCCACTGGTTTCAACACCATGGTTCCTTTGACAAATTGCTAGTGCAGGGCCGTTGGGCTGCAGCTAAGACTGCCAAGATTTATGTAAACGAAGGTTTGGCCCTGCTAGCGGAGATTTCCATACCCGTTTCTACTTTGAAGCCCTTTGTGAATTCATTTACTTCTGCTAGCCGTTGAGTGCAAAAGCTTGAGCAGCGTGTGCACGCAGGGCAGGGGGACGTGGAGAACACCAGGAATTGTCTTTTTTCCTCTGTTTTGTTTAAGAAATTGTACTTGGGCCTGGGAGAGCCTCGGGTTGGCGAGGCCCTGGGGAGCACTGAGGGGGTTAGTTTTCTCTCGGTTTGGCGAGAGTTTACTAACCTGGGCCTCCAAATTTGGATGTTGATGAGGTTTGAAGATTTTATTTTGATTTTCTCCCATTTTGGGTGAGAGTTGTGAAAAGCCTGGGGGGCTTGTGTTTTGAAAGGTGAAACAGGGAGTCTTTCACCTCTCCGATTTTCGTTTTTTCTGACAAATCTTGGCTTGCTACGCGTCAAAAAAGAAACTCGCTGAGCCTTTGTTGTCCTGCCCCAGGAGTAAAGGTGAAGCATGTGTATGTTTTGAATGCAGCTTTTGGCTCAGCACCCTACCCTCCCTCCCTGGGAGGCCCTGCTCTTTGTCGAGAGCAGGTGTTTGCCATATCCTGGGGAGAACACCAGGAATTGTCTTTTTTCCTCTGTTTTGTTTAAGAAATTGTACTTGGGCCTGGGAGAGCCTCGGGTTGGCGAGGCCCTGGGGAGTACTGAGGGGGTTAGTTTTCTCTCGGTTTGGCGAGAGTTTACTAACCTGGGCCTCCAAATTTGGATGTTGATGAGGTTTGAAGATTTTATTTTGATTTTCTCCCATTTTGGGTGAGAGTTGTGAAAAGCCTGGGGGGCTTGTGTTTTGAAAGGTGAAACAGGGAGTCTTTCACCTCTCCGATTTTCGTTTTTTCTGACAAATCTTGGCTTGCTACGCGTCAAAAAAGAAACTCGCTGAGCCTTTATATATATATATATATCTATCTGTGGTTGCGCGTGTACATGCACATTCAATGGCAAGGTCTGTAGATCGGGCAGCCTTCACCTCCAGGCCCACGGCTCCTATGGCGCCCATCATTCTTCCTGGTCTTCCTCCAGGGGTGAGCCACAGCCTGGTGGAAGCATCTTGCTTCGTGACATAGCAATGTGGAGCATATGGGGACACGCACACAGAGGTAAATGCGTATGTGCTTTGTATATATATATACACACACACATATATATATATATATATACATAGGTATGCATACCCACATACACATATAGTGTACACATAGACATCTATTATATATCCAACCTGATGTGCCCAAGCGCAAAGTATTTGCAAGAGAATGAGTCATGATCAAGCACATTTGCCAGCCGATTTACCTGTTTCCCCAGTCTTTGTGGCACTGTGCCCTCATGGTTTCAGCTTCACCCGCAATGTTCGATGTTCATCATGATGCTCATGAAGCTCTCAAGTTTCGCATCAATTGGAAATATGGTTTTCGTCCCAAATGAGTACTGTACTGTATTGTGGGCAACTACAATCCCAGACAGCTCATGAATGAGTCCTGCATGACTGCATGGCTTATGTTTGCTATCCTGCTTCCAAAGCAAGTACTGTATATACTTCTCTTTTCCTCGCATTGCTTTGCTTGGGCACTTGACGATTTTCGACCCTCCAAACATGCTTTACCCTTCACAATATTCACAATGGTGCAAATCCATCATTCATATCATACATATATCATACATATATCATACATATATCATACATATATCATACATATATCATACATATATCATACATATATCATACATATATCATACATATATCATACATATATCATACATATATCATACATTAATGTTGTAAGGGCTCCCACCGCATCAGGTGATGCCGTTGATGATGCCGGGTGCGACCCGCTGGCACGATACATTAGGGGATGAACATTAAATGATTGTTGCATATATGGAACTGACAGGTGGATCAATAACGTGCTTTCATATCCATAAGTTTATGGCTCATATCTGCAGTGATCCTAAATCCCATAGTTATATGGACGGTCATATGAACTACAGGGCTACATGGTTGGACCAAGTTCGATAGTTGATCATATTTCTGCACTTGCACGTTGTTGTACCCAGAACTCTCCAGGCAATGTCATTGCTCTCAAGGATTTGAAGATTATTGTCAATGATGACACATATTAACTGACAAATATCCTACAAATAAGATCATAACATAATATATATAGTTATAATTATATAAAGTCCATATTAAATAAGAAGACATTTGGAGTTTCTTTCCGTTTAAAGTGGTGAAACAATCGCAGCGAATAGTCTGCAGTGATTTAGTCGACAGCGCAGCCTCGCCAAGTGACGGAACAGCCTATCGCATAGCTAGTGACACTGGACGGCATATCCTAAGGTAACACATCTGGTCATCCGATTACGCACGAGTATTAATAGTGGTTAATATATCTATAGTCTAGTGATTAATAAGTGACATATTAATAGTGGTTAATATATCTATAGTCTAGTGATTAATAAGTGACATATTAATAGTGGTTAATATATCTATAGTCTAGTGATTAATAAGTGAAATATTAATAGTGGTTAATATATCTATAGCCTAGTGAGTGAGTGACGATAATAGTGGTTAATATCTATAGTCTAGTGATTAATAAGTGACATATTAATAGTGGTTAATATATCTATAGTCTAGTGATTAATAAGTGACATATTAATAGTGGTTAATATATCTATAGTCTAGTGATTAATAAGTGACATATTAATAGTGGTTAATATATCTATAGTCTAGTGATTAATAAGTGACATATTAATAGTGGTTAATATATCTATAGTCTAGTGATTAATAAGTGACATATTAATAGTGGTTAATATATCTATAGTCTAGTGATTAATAAGTGACATATTAATAGTGGTTAATATATCTATAGTCTAGTGATTAATAAGTGACATATTAATAGTGGTTAATATATCTATAGTCTAGTGATTAATAAGTGACATATTAATAGTGGTTAATATATCTATAGTCTAGTGATTAATAAGTGACATATTAATAGTGGTTAATATATCTATAGTCTAGTGATTAATAAGTGACATATTAATAGTGGTTAATATATCTATAGTCTAGTGATTAATAAGTGACATATTAATAGTGGTTAATATATCTATAGTCTAGTGATTAATAAGTGACATATTAATAGTGGTTAATATATCTATAGTCTAGTGATTAATAAGTGACATATTAATAGTGGTTAATATATCTATAGTCTAGTGATTAATAAGTGAAATATTAATAGTGGTTAATATATCTATAGTCTAGTGATTAATAAGTGACATATTAATAGTGGTTAATATATCTATAGTCTAGTGATTAATAAGTGAAATATTAATAGTGGTTAATATATCTATAGTCTAGTGATTAATAAGTGACATATTAATAGTGGTTAATATATCTATAGTCTAGTGATTAATAAGTGACATATTAATAGTGGTTAATATATCTATAGTCTAGTGATTAATAAGTGACATATTAATAGTGGTTAATATATCTATAGCCTAGCGATTAATAAGTGATATTAATAGTGGTTAATATATCTATAGTCTAGTGATTAATAAGTGACATATTAATAGTGGTTAATATATCTATAGTCTAGTGATTAATAAGTGACATATTAATAGTGGTTAATATATCTATAGTCTAGTGATTAATAAGTGACATATTAATAGTGGTTAATATATCTATAGTCTAGTGATTAATAAGTGACATATTAATAGTGGTTAATATATCTATAGTCTAGTGATTAATAAGTGACATATTAATAGTGGTTAATATATCTATAGTCTAGTGATTAATAAGTGACATATTAATAGTGGTTAATATATCTATAGTCTAGTGATTAATAAGTGAAATATTAATAGTGGTTAATATATCTATAGTCTAGTGATTAATAAGTGACATATTAATAGTGGTTAATATATCTATAGTCTAGTGATTAATAAGTGAAATATTAATAGTGGTTAATATATCTATAGTCTAGTGATTAATAAGTGACATATTAATAGTGGTTAATATATCTATAGTCTAGTGATTAATAAGTGACATATTAATAGTGGTTAATATATCTATAGTCTAGTGATTAATAAGTGACATATAACCATTAGATGACATTGATTATAATGGCCGAACTATATTCAGGTTAGTGAAATATAGTAATTTACCCAGATAATTGACATGATCTATTTGATCTATTTTTACATGATGACATATTCTGATGATACATAATTATGTCATTAGATACTTGAATGGTAATCTAGTGGTCATGGTTCTAACGGTCATCAGAATGGTCATCTAATTGACATGATATTTACTGTAATCTATTTTTAATTTGACATATTCTGATGAATATTGTATTTAGTCTAGTTTTACACATTCTGAAGATGATGAATACCACCTGGTTATGACTAACAGTTTGCCATGGTATAGATGGCCCATTTATAGATGGTTTACCATGGTTTACCTATTACCCTCTGGTAAATCCCATTAGATCCCATTAAATCCAATAAAATCCCATTAAGTTCCAGTAAACCACCATTTCCCTATGGGTTTTCCTATGGGTTTTCCTATGGTAAACCCATTAAACCACCATTTTCCATCTGTGAATCGACATGTCGCCGTCCAAGGCGGGGCTCATCCGCCGCATCCGTGACTTGGGATTGGAGGTGCCTCCTGGTGCTGGACCTACGCAGCTGAGGGCCATCCTTGAGGCCATGGGGGATGGCTTGGATGGGAACATCTACCGTTAAAATCACCATTTTTCATGGGAAAGACCTGGGAAAAATATGGGAAACACATTGAAAAACATGATGATTTCCATTGATTTCCTATAGATGATGGATGTTTCTTTAAAAATTTTAGACCCAGAAATTGATTGACCAGAACGAACTTTTGAAAGATGCTTGTAAACTGGCAAGTGACAGGCGCTTGTTGTTTCAGAGATTCCCTCTGATTGTTCATTTGGAACCAAAACCTGAGGAGTCTCAGAACCCTACAGTCTCGTTCAGCACACCTGAACCCTGAAGATACCTGAAGCTTTTGAAAACCTTGGAATTGTAGAATCGATCCTTGAAGCAGTGCAGCCCCACAAGGATCATGCGGATGCGGATCCAGCGGCTCCTCCCAGACGTCATCCCAGGCTGGGACGACTGGGACGACCGCTACAGCAGGGACCCTTGGGGGTTCCAATAGGTTCCAATACGGATATTATTATTGGAATAAGGATTGATATATTGGATTATTATTCCAATAGGTTCCAAGGATTGATAATATCAATATTATTATTGCAATATTGATTAATAGATTCCAAGGGTTCCATAGGTTCCAATAAGGACTGGTGTTTGAATACTTTTAAGAACTTTCAAGAGGTCGATAAGTAGTTGACACATGTTGAGATACTGTGCCACCCAATCCCTACAACCTGAGACCATGCAATTTGTAATGTACTGTATATTGTACAACATTATACTGTACCACTTCAATCCAAGCTCAACTCCAAGAATTACGGGAATGGACTTCCACGTGAGCCATGCAATAATCGTAGTAAACTGATAAACATGGATTTTACAGAACAATGGCAAACTTAACTTAAGTCTTTAAGTATTGTTTCTAGTCCGAACCCCACGGGCATCTTCGAAACTGGGCCAGGCAGGGATGGCAACTGGACAATCGGCAGCTAAGCCAGGCCTGCTGGTCAGGGTCAACTGTAATCAGACTTGGTGATTGTTCTCTTTAATCATTTTATTGTCTAAGGTGGTCAATGACTAAAATATGATAAACAATGTATATCATACCATATAAACATATACATATTATTTATCTATATATTATTTATTTAGAGGATTGGTATGTTTTGCCAATTTTTTGTTGATTCCAACTCATTGCAATGCCCACAGGGTGCGATGGCTCATCTTCCACGCTCCCCCTCCTCGCCCTCGCGGCCCGGGTCGCATGGGGCGATGGATTTGCGAGCACGTTCCATGGCAGCTCGAGGTGGTTGCCCTCAACGGATTTTTGGCGAAGTGGTGGTCCATATATGTATGTAACGCACGCATACATACATAATATTTTAAATACTAAAACTAATATATAATACTAATAATAACAATAGTCATGATAACAAGAATAGAAATAATAACAATTATAACAATAATGACAATAAGAACAATCATCTAAGGTTTATTGTTATTGTTATTAGTTGTTGTTATTAGGCAACTTTGACGTCAGACATCGTTGCGACCAAGCGGGAGTTCACCTTTTTTATCCAAGGCTTGGCTGAGCTGGGCTTCGAGATCCCCAGCAACTTGCGCTGATCAGGGGGAAAGATCGGCTTTTCGTGGCTTTTCCTTGTTCTACCGCAGAAAATGTATGAATAGTATCAGCATCAGGGCACTCCCTTCTCCGCTCTAGATTTTTAACTCACTAAAGATGTTTGAAGATGTTTGAAGATGTTTGAAGTAGTATGATTCGGGATGATGTAGTATGTCACCGTGTCACGGCACTCGACCTGGCAGCTGTTTTGGCTTTTTGCCGTCGGCTTTCGGCGGGGTTCCATACAGGGGGCCGAAAAAGGCTTGGCACCACGTGCCAGAAGGTCAACCAGGTGCCATTGGGGTGGGGTGTCCATGTGGAATTGGGACATATTGGGACCAGGCTGCAGCTAGAGTTGAGATGCTTTGAGTGTGGCCGTCCATAAATTACAATAATTATGTTTGCATGAAACCAGTGGACATCACGTTTTCCTTCGCTTCCCCCCGAACCTTTGTATCCTTCGTTGCCCGACAGGGACAGATGACCATGGACGTAATGCCATCTCGCACGGAGGCGGCGGTCGACAGATATCGACAGATAAAGATCATAAAGGCTCTGCTTTGGGCAATTGGATCAACCACCGCTCTCAGAAAGCGGAATGCTGGTGGAACAGTCATCACTTCAAACTGCATTTGGGCAACTGGCAGGATGGGTGCAAGTTGCCATTCACAAAGAAGCTCGTTACATCCTCAAAGGAGAGTTTGATTGTGGCTATTTCCTGTGCTGATGCTAGCTGATAGCTTGTGTTCCACTGTGTGGGATGTTGCAGTGCCATACCATCGAGGCCAGTTTCGACAGAATGAATTCTGGGAGCACATGGGCTGGCAACACTCCGGTGTCAGATGCTTTGTAGCAAAGGGCTGGATTTGCTGAAGGGCCCCATGGTTTGTGGCAGAAAGTAATGGGAAAAAGTGAAACAGTTGCGGGGGCGGGAATCATTCGAAATTAAACTTACCCAAGTGAACCAAGTGAACTAATGCCAAAGCACGGGACATGGATGGACATGGTGTGCATGCTTGGGGTATCGTGATTATCATGTGATTATCGTGCCGCTTGTGCTTTTGGGACTTGTCTTCCATGCATATCAAGGAATTTGAGATCACCGAACTCGAGGTGTGGGCCGGGCCGAGTGGGCCGAATGGACACCATTCATGAAAACAAAAGCACACAAAAGAAAACCAAAAAGAATCAAAAACACAAAACATCGGTGCAATTTTTGCGCACTGACAGCTTGATACTAGACTCTACCTTGTGCCTTGAACTTGCTGACAACTGTCCATTTGAAGACGTTTGATCACTGTATCAGACTGTATCCTGTAGGTCTGTTTCTTGTGTGTGATTCTTCCACTTCAAAGACTCGAAAGAAGTGGAAGAGGGCCATTGGCGTTGGGGAACAACTGTATTACCAAGGTTGAGTTATTGGGGCTTCGTTTGCCCTCTGTTCCATGGTGATGGGTTGGTGATGGGTCATGAGCCCTGTGAGAGGCACTTTCCTCCTCAGTTTGTAACGCCTTTGGCCTTGAGGCCAGGATGCAGCTTTTTGCTGAGAGGAGCAGGGTTTCCAATGGAATTAAATGGGCCAATGGGCCTTTTCAATGGCCACCACTGAGTATTCAGGGTTAGGGTTTTTTAGTGACTTTAGTGTGGTCTAATGAATTCTGAGTTGATATCTTATGGTTTGGCCAGCCCTTGCAGTGGCTGTGTCCAACACAGGCATGTAAGACCATCAGCAAGGACTTGGTGCCTTCTGCCCCTTTCAGCTGTTGGGCGGTCGCAGCATGCCACAGCATGCCACGGAACTCACGTAGAACACATTGCGCAGACAGATTCGTTCTAGCCTGACATCTGACGACCTAAAGATCGAAGCATGTATTGCAACAAGACTGGCCACAACTCATGATGAGTCGAGCTACATCTAAGAAATCTAGCATCACCTGCCACCATTTGGACTCCAGAGCAGCTAGCCCAAAATCTTCCTTTGTGGTGCATTTTCCTGCCATGTGTGCCATGCCATGGTCCCTTCGCACCGTTCCTGTGCCCGTCCAAGCGCCAGCGCAAGGGCTTCCGGTCCCAACACCAAGAGCTTCAGCCAGTCGAGCTCCACGGCAGCGTCCAACGCCCGTGACGCCCGTGGCGCCCGTTTGCGCTGCCAGGGCTCATTGGTCGAAGCCACCGAAGCCACCGAAGCCGCCGAAGCCAGGGCACCCGCTGCCGTGCCCAGGTCGAGTGGTTGAAACTTGGGGCGGCAGAAGAGCCCAGTGAGCCAAGGTCAGTGCTGGTTGAAGAGTCGGAAGTCGTAGAGCTTCCTGTGATGCCGCTGAATGCGGTGTATTTGCCAAGTCCCAGTCAGCAACTCATGATTTCGGAGCCACGGTATTTGAAGCTCTTCGATGACATCCTCGTGAATGGCAGTCGCATGTTTGCAGTTTGCCATTGCCGTGGATCTCTTCTGGCACGCGTGGGGTTGGTTTTCAGATTGACCGACCTGAAAGATGTGGCACAGGAGACAAATGGCCACACGAGATATGTGGCGGAACATGAGGTCCGACAACGTGTTCGGATCCTCTCGGTGTTGAATCCGGAGGATCAGGAGTCCAAATCCGAGTACCTCCGAGCAACGGTTCAATTCCTTGAGCCGGAAGAAGATACAGTCCCTGAAGAGCTGCGAGTAATCTTGCAAAGAATCTTGAAGTTTTGATTGATTTTGATTGGCTATCTTTTGCTAGGTTTGAAGTTTTGAGTTCAGTTTCATTCAGACACAGAAGGAGTGTTGCCGGCGACAGCTCTCAATTTGTCAAACTTTTGTCATTTTCTCCATGTTTTGTCATCAGGAATCCGCGGGAAGTTGCAGGATGCCTTAGCCATCCAGGGAGAACAGGAACAAGGCGATCCTGAAGAACTGGGCAACCAGGCCCGGCGCCTGCGCTTAGCCAGCGTCATCAGGCGCTGAGTTTTTGTCGAAATTGGGTGATTTTGGATACTGAAAAACGAAAATCACTGGCATCACATCATGACATCATTTTTGAACTTTTTTGATTTCGATATCAACTTGGGAGATCATGATTTCATTCCGACAGATTTGGATATGAACAATGACAGTGTGACACCGGAATGTTCAATCGTCAGGTTATCTCAGGTTTGTCCATGTTTGTCCCCTCCAGGAACTCCGGCTTCTGGGACCTGTGCAGCATATTGGGCTCCATCCAATCCCTCCGTTTGCAACTGGAGATCCGTCGCTTGCGGCAGCACGTGAGGCAACTCACAGAAGTGGCTCGGTGAAGCTGCAACGCATTGTTCCCCTTCCCCACCAAATCAAAAAAACATATGGGCGATGGAGAGAGAGATGGGTTTGTATTGAATATGAATATGGATGAATATGGTATTATGATGTATTCTGCCAGTATACCGTTCACGTTGAAATATGGGCAATATGAAACTGCGGCTTTGCTCAACGCCTCAGACTCCAACGCTTGGAGTAGTGACAATGCCACAGACAGTTAGGAACTTCGTATCTTCGTCAAGTCCCAATGTTTGTTTTGCATTCTCCAGCACACAAGTTATATGAAATCATGGGGTCTGGGAGGCATCGCTTTTCGGAAATATCATTAGTAATTACCCATATTCCTCAGCAATTTTTGTGGGATCTTATCTTAAATTCATTTCGTGATTTCAATATGTTCAATTCGCTCAGCCCGTCATTTCCGGTGTTTTTGCAGCATTTTGCACATCATTTTATGTCAGGACTGGGCAGCAGAGCACCCAGATGAGTTCGAAGCATTGAAGGTGGATCCCAAGGGGCTCCCAGCCAACATCCGATCACAGGGGGAGCGTGTGAGGGAGCTAATGCTCGAAACTCGGCTGCTGCTGGTGGGACCATGTGGGACCTGGTAAAATTGTGGTCGACCAAATCTTGGGAGTTGGATTTCACTCCAGTTTGGAAACCGCAAAAGAACCATTCACTTATTTTTAATGACCCAGTGTGTTTTGATATAATATATTTATAATTTATAATGTCACTTAATATATTTTAATATCACCTACCAGTATGGTTTGACCACGAGGGACTTCGCTGATGGGGCTGGGGAGAAAGATATCTACCCAATGTAATTATCCTAATGTGTTCTATAACTTTTGTTTGTTGGTGCGTTGATGTCGGTTTCATGGCAACTTCAGGATGGCTCCCAGGAACTTCAAGAAACTTTTCAACAGATCCTTCAGACTGCGCAGCTCAGATGCTGCGCTCCTGTTAGAGGCTGCGGTCGACCAGGAACTGCAGCGCGTGCGTACAGTGCGGTCACTGAACAGTTTGCTGCGGCCGACCAAACCGCAGGTCGAGTAGACAAAAATGACAAAAGGGCCGAAGGAACGCAGGGCTTGGATTGGACTCATTGGACGTCAACGTGATGTCAACGTGTTTTTCTTTTCCAGGCTTTGGAGCATGTGACATGACGGCCTGATTTTTGTTGGAAACTTCCGGCGATGAGCACCATGTCACGAGATCAGTTTTCGTGTTTTTCATGACTCAATTCCAATGGGTTTACTGCTTCATCCATTCAAGGCTAAGGACACTGACTGGATTTTACGCCCTTGAGGTTGGATCCATGCTGCAAAGATCATATGCCCCTGGTTCTCTACAATTCAGTACTCAAACTGTCGGCCCAGTGGGCTTCCCAAACGCTCGCGCAATCCAGGCGGTAGTGGAAGACGCACAGGACATGGGCCGCAGTTCCCTGTCGCCCACCGTGCAACCCGTGTTGCACGACGATCCGTTTGTTAGAACAAGTTCGACAGTTTACCACCCATTTCAAATTTCCATCCATTTCTCATAAAACGTGAGGTTTTTCGTGTTTTTCGTCTTAGGTTTACCCAACAAAAAAGCATCCCCAAGGCCGATCTGCCAGGAAACCATGGCCGTGGGCAGTAGTGAACCTGTCAAAGCGGCCAAATCAGCTCCTCCTGAGCCGCTCGGCACTCGATCTCCGTCGAGCTGTTTGGTCCAGTTTGGTCATCCACCAAATAGCTGTCCAAAAAGCAGCTGTTGATGAGATGCTTGGTACTATTCTTGAAATATCTAGTGATGATAAAATCCCACTATAACAACCTATAACTATCTACAACTATGTACATATCATGGGTGGGAATCAATCCCTCCCAGCAATCGCTCTGCTGGAAGAGTCCTTGCTTATGCCTGCGAATCTGTCTCGCTTGTGCCTGCGCTGCCTGTTCTTTCAGCAAGTGCAGAAGTACCAGAATCATGTCAAGCTTGCCCCCATCTAAGCCCCTGTCGGGTCGGAGCACAAACATCTTTTCATTGCACGTTGATAAACATTATCATATCAATACAGAACAGTATGCTAGCTTTTTGAAGCAGGACCTCATGTCATTGCACACTTATCAATACAGAATAGTATAATAACTTTCAGTCCCCTTGTCCCCGAGTCAAACCCTAAAAGGTTGTGTCTGTATGGTCAAAACGAGTCAAAACCCATGTTCACCGGGTTCACCGGTGCAAGTTGTCGACACTTTGTCGACACTTTGATCGGTGAGATTCCACCGAGGAAGTGTCGCTTGTCCAAGCCTAGGGCCGTAGCTCTTCAGAATGAGCCCCTTGGATGTGGCCATTGGGCCATTGGGCCGTTGGGACCTATTGTGTGCACAAAATCGGACCTCGCAGGAACTAAGTCACAGTTACATTGGGGGGCAAATATGCACAGTTGCTATGGCCAATTGCGATCCTCTATTTCGAAATGTTGAGGTGTCCCAACCCCTCCAGAAAAAGGCGGTTTGTTGCGGCATGGGTTTGGTATGCACACCATGTACTAAACAAACTTGTCAGCAATGACCATTTAGGTTCCATATGGCGCAGACCGTTGCTGCCCCAGGCTGTTGGCCGCCTACACATCCGCGCGCTTTCAGAAGAAGCTCCAAGCAATTGCAAGGCATAGACAGTTGGGCATCAGAAATTTGATGCAGGAAACGTAGGAAACAGCAGAGTATAGGTGCGAATAGTAGAATATAGCAGAACATAGTAGAACATAGTAGAATAGTGGAACATAGTAGAATATAGTAGAATATAGTAGAAATTAGTAGAATATAGTAGAATAGTGGAACATAGTAGAATATAGTAGAATCTTGAAAAAAGAAACCCTGGCTGCGAAACCGACAAAACCAACATTTTCACCCCAGTGGCCCAGTGTTCTTTTCAAGACCAGGCAGCAAGGTGGTGGAAAGATGGGCAGTCTTCACCGACCAGCTTTCCAAGCTGCCTTAAAGCTCCTTGGCTACACATGGCTACACAGCTGTTTTGTTTTGCCCTGCCAGCACTTGGGGAATGGTTGGAATTTTATTCCTTGGCAACTGGCAGTGAGCTGAGGAACTTACTACGAAAGCCTCAGATGGACATAATCTCCAGGTGCAGCCGATTTCTGTCTGATGCACAGGATTCCTAGGGCCTAGGGAAGTAAAGTGTTTGCAAACACTTCATGTCGCCATGCCGCGTGCCAATTGGTTGCCAGGTATGGATTTCAAGCCTCGGAACAAGGGATCGAAGAGATGGAAATGGAGCTGGAGTTCCTGGAAGAAGATGGAGATGTTTATGTGACTTGCATTGATTGCATTGATTGCATTGGACCACTGGATGGACCGTCCTATGGGATATTGGAGTAGCATGGGCCAAGTTGCAGGACGGTAATGAATTGTTCCTTGAATTTCAAACATGCTTAAAGAATCATATAAAAGACATTCTATGACATTCTAATGTCTCACGTCAAACGTTATTTTACCAGACATGTTGACATCATCCGACCTGACCAGAAGAATTACACCTGCGGCCAGGTCAATAAAGTGGCCATCGAAGAAGCGCTCTTCGGCCCCTTCGAGGAGACGCGACTGTGGCGGGTGAGGGGATCAGGCTACAATTGAGGGATGAGAGTGCAGCTTCCAGAATTATTCGTATTTCTTAGTTATATAATATGTTAAAATGATGTTATATGAGTGTCTTCAAGACTGGGTTGGAATGATGACCTCACAAGGCAATTGCTGGAGAGCCATGGGTCCTAGTGGATGGTTGGAGGACTTGGTGTTGGAGGAAGAGCCAAACAGTGGCAAACCCTCAACGAAGCAGGGTGTCTATTTGTTGCTGCGCAGCTTGCCGCTCGGCCCCAACATGCGCGAACATTGGAGACAGGCATGATTCAAATCAACCAACGGACCAACGGTCAATGCGAATGATGTTCTGACACCAGACACCAAGGTTTCTCGGTTTCAGCAACTTGGCTGGAGAATGCTGCCTCCCACTCCCACCAATTCCAGCCACCTTTGCCACAATTTTACTCCCTCCAAGGTGAGGCTTGGTTCCAGGAAGCCATTTTGAAGTTGCAGCACAAGAAAGATGCCCGAGAGCGTGGCGACCGTGGCGACCGTGGCGACCGTGGCGACCGTGGCGGCGACCGCGGCGACCGTGACCGTCACCGGCCAGATCCGGTCGGGAGCTGAGGGCAGGGGGAAAGGTTGAGGACGGTGGAAGCTGTATCGAAGCTGTTTGGTGGCTATCTAGTGGATCATAGTGGATCATTAGAATGGATCATAATGGATCATCCAATGGTTCAGAATTCAAGAGATTTTGTATCACTAATATCACAAACAGGTACAGTATGTGGATGTATGTGATGAATCGCACCAAGGATGGGTATTTTCATTTACCTGGACGCGCCGAGCTTGCACTCGAAGTGCAACAGAAAATTCTGCCACGATTTGGCTTCGACGCTACAAAGGACGGGATCACAGGGCCTTTCTGTAGCCTTTCTGTTGGATTGGCGTTGGTAATCTTTGCTGCGGGGGTTCTTGTCGAGGTTGACACATTTGATTCATTTTACCCCGCAGCCAGGAAGGCGTTGGAGAAGCCTGGCTGCATTCTGCCAGAACATGGATGGCCAGTGCCAGGATGTGCCAAGTAATCAGCTTTTTTGTTATTTTATTAGTGTTCAAGCAGTCACTGACATGGATATCAGCGGACATCAGGTGATACTTTTTGGAAGTCTCATTGAAAACCTTTGACTGAGGACATGATCCGTCATTGTTCCGCATTTCTCACAGATCACGATATTGCGCACCTCTTCGATGCTATCAACAGGAGAGTTCGCAAGCTCGTGTGGTGATGATAAGGAGGATGATGAGGATGAGGATGAGGATGATGCTGAAAGATGATGGCACTCACTGGAATGCTTATAATGTCCCAGCTCTACTTTGTTGTTCTTCCACATGTCTTTGCAAGGGGCGAATCAAAATAATAACTCTGAAATTCTGAAATTGCAGATTACGTGTGAAACGGCAAACCTGTTTCCTTTGGTAGGCTGCTACTGCCGTTTGTTCACGGACTGCACTCTAGAAAATGGCTGTAAGAGCATCATCGGTAGCTTGATGACGACATGGGAAAAGGGTGAAGCGTGGAAACCACACTCAACCGTTAAACGCAATTATCCCGATATATTGTGATCAAGTCAAATTCCAGAAACTTTGAATTAAGATTAATCAAACCATTTTTTCCCGAGAGCGTCTGAGCGCAGGGTTCTTCCAATAGTGGGGGTCTGTATCTCATCTTCTCATCTTCACACCTTCTCATCTTCACACCTTCTCATCTTCACACCTTCTCATCTTCACACCTTCTCTCACACCTTCTCATCTTCACCTTCTCATCTTCACACCTTCTCATCTTCACACCTTCTCATCTTCACATCTTCTCTCACACCTTCTCATCTTCACATCTGCTCATCTTCACATCTTCCCATCTTCCCATCTTCACATCTTCTCACACCTTCTCATCTTCACATCTTCTCTCACACCTTCTCATCTTCACACCTTCTCATCTTCACATCTTCTCATCTTCACATCTTCTCATCTTCACACCTTCTCATCTTCACATTTGCTCCTCTTCACATCTGCTCCTCTTCACATCTGCTCCTCTTCACACCTTCTCATCTTCACACCTTCTCATCTTCTCACCTTCTCTCACACCTTCTCATCTTCACATCTTCTCTCTCTCTCACTCTCTCTCCTCTTTCCTCTCTCCTTTCTCTCTCTCCTTTCTCTCTCTCCTTTCTCTCTCCCTTTTCTCTCTCTCGCCTTCTTTATCTTTCTCTCTCACGAAATGAGGGTCGATCGGCGAAAACTGAGGTAAAATTGCGATTTTACTTGTCCCGGAGCAACCCTTTCGCACGAAATGAGGGTCGATCGGCGAAAACTGAGGTAAAATTGCGATTTTACTTGTCCCGGAGCAACCCTTTCGCACGAAATGATGGTCGATCGGCAAAAAACTGAGGTAAAATTGCGATTTTACTTGTCCCGGAGCAACCCTTTCGCACGAAATGAGGGTCGATCGGCGAAAACTGAGGTAAAATTGCGATTTCACTTGTCCCCGGGCAACCCTTTCGCACGAAATGAGGGTCGATCGGCGAAAACTGAGGTAAAATTGCGATTTCACTTGTCCTGGAGCAACCCTTTCGCACGAAATGAGGGTCGATCGTCAAAAACTGAGGAAAAATTGCGATTTTACGTGTCTGTGTGTAAAAGCGTCTGTGTGTAAAAGTGTTAGTGTGTAAAAGCGTCTGTGTGTAAAGGCTTTTCTGTGTAAAAGCGTCTGTGTGTAAGCGCATCTGTGTGTGTAAAAGGGTCTGTGTGTAAAAGCGTCTGTGTGTAAAAGTGTTAGTGTGTAAACGCGTCTGTGTGTAAAAGCGTCTGTGTGTAAAAGCGTCTGTGTGTAAAAGCTTTTGTGTGTAAAAGCGTCTGTGTGTAAAAGTGACTGTGTAAAAGTGATTGTGTGCAAAAGCGCTTGTGTGTAAAACCGTTTGTGTGTAAAAGCGTTTGTGTGTCAAAGCTTCTGTGCGTAAAAGCGTCTGCGTGTAAAAGCTTCTGCGTGTAAAAGCGTCTATGTGTAAAAGTGTTTGTGTGTAAAAGTGTTTGTATGTACAAGTGTTTGTGTGTAAAAGTGCCTGTGTGTCAAAGCGTCTATGTGTAAAAGCTTCTGTGTGACTATGTGTAAAAGTTTTTGTGTGTAAAAGCGTCTGCGTGTAAATGCTTCTGTGTGTAAAAGCTCCTGTGTGTAAAAGGCTCTTTGTTAAACGTGTCTGTGTGTAAAAGTGTCTGTGTGTAAAAGTGTCTGTGTTTAAAAGCATCTGTGTCAAAGCGTATGTTTGTAAAAGCTTCTGTATGTAAAAGCTTCTGTGGGTAAAAGGTTTGTGTGTAAAAGTGTCAGTGTAAAAGTGTCTGTGTGTAAAAGCATCTGTGTGCAGTGCAAGCGTATGTGTGTAAAAGTTTCTGTATGTAAAAGCTTCTGTGGGTAAAAGCTTTGTGTGTAAAAGGGTCTGTGCGTAAAAGGGTCTGTATGTAAAAGCGTCTGTGTGTAAAAGCTTTTGTGTGTAAAAGTGTTTGCGATGCAAACTATTGTCTTGCACTTCTGCTATTTTGTCTTAATACTCCTCTTCTCGACTGCATATAACACATCTTTAATATATTGTTTCTAATATGGTGTCTCCATACTAACAAGAGAAGACCCTGCTCCTCTACGCTCTCGGGCCATCCGTCGTCTAGTTTTCACCATAGATCCATTCTAAGCTGCCAGCTGCGTGGAAACAAACATGTTGAAACCAGGAAGCTGGGCATGTCGCCAGCCGCCTGCAGTCGCTTCCGGCGTTTCTGCAGCAGCTTCCAAGAGCCGAGACTTGGCGATGAGGGGAGAAATGACACAACGTGAAATATAGAGATGTCTATTTAACATCTATAACATTGTCTATAATCATACAGATATGTGAACATATAGTAATATTACTAATAGTACTATACTTATACAGATACATGAACATACGGATATTGATAAATAAATAAAAATATATATAGATACACACATACATATTGAATATACATATGTTAAGATATTAGACATGTGTTAACATACTATATACATATATGGCACTAAGACTACTGGGGATTTCATGAGTTGATGAGGCATGGGTCGGAACCCACCAGTCGCGAGTTGAGACTACGCTTGGTCCTATTTCTTCACTGGGAGTCAAACCGCTGAATATGGATTACGTGTTAGTTTTCCCGCGCTTTCCTTCCAGCACATCCCGTGGGTGTGGAATTCAACAGATCTGCCGATGTTCTGCTTATTTGATTTGGAGAGTTTGGAATTTGGAGTTTGTTTCTTGCTTGACAGAATGCGCATCCTTGCTTGGCACCCTTAAGCTGCCCTCAGGATAGTAACAGGATCGCAAAACTCACCAGCAGCAGGTTCTTGCTTCTCGGCGACATTTCCGAAGTTTCATTTTTTTTGGGCATAATGTGGCGCTGTGTGACAGGCATTTTGATGAAGCCGGTCTGCAGCCGGATCCATCCACCAAGGTAATCTGGTTCGGATTAGTCATGTCTGACTGCGCGCACTCCGCACTCCCCCAACGCAGCGCATGGGTCGGGGCGCGTGAGCAGCTGCAGACTAGCCATTGAACACGGCAGGAGGAAACTCAGCTGCTTGGAACAGTTGCGACTCTGAAAGATTTGGACAGATCTGGACAGTCTCTGTATTATTATGATTTATTATGTTGTTTTTGGATGTTTTTGGATGTTTTTGGAAACAACATGAAACAACCACCTTCGTGATATCTTGTACATTCTTGTGCGTTGTTTTTGTGACGAGCAGCCTGGGTTCTTTGCCTGCCATGCTTGGGGACCAAAGCCGCGTCCGCCAAATATCTGTGAAGAGGCGAGTTATGACGGGATCGCCGACGGCTTACAACCTCAATGATCTCAATGTCAGAGGTTGCGCCAACAGCATGGCTTGGAGCTCAACAGATGCCACAACTTGCAGCCGTGATCATGATCTCGTGATCCAAGCATTGAAGATTATCCCAAGCTGCAAAAGATACTGTTGCAATCTTGGTCATGGAGTTTCAGCATCAGTATGCTCCACGCCTCTTTCTATGTGAAACAGCAGTCCGGCAAGAAATTTTGATTTCCGAAATGCAAGCAGCCCACTTGCTGAAAAGAAAATAGTGGAGTTTAGAGCTCTTTTCCAGGGGCTGCTACCAGAAGGAATCGTCGGCTGCTGGCGACATCCCCGCGACTGCGGACATCGTTCAAGCCTTGACATCGATTTTGGCCCGATTTGGTCTGGAGATCTCACTTTGGCACAATCCGATTGCTATCGAGTCTATCAAATCTATCAAGTACTTATTTCATTTAATTCCATCTTACATCATCTTACTCTTTTCTTAACTTACTAATTTATTGAGATCATAGAGGTTGGATGCCCAGCTGGAGCATCGGGCAGCTCAGCATTGTGGTTTAACCCCCATGTTCCTTTTCAAATGGGAGCTGCTACCGGATTGTATGATAGAACATCGTTCAACATTGTCCAAACCATTTCATTTAGTCTAATTTATATACCAGTAGTACCGGTGGCGGAAGTTTCAAAAATAGGAAACCTATAGGAGAGATTGGCTGTTGTGAATCAGGGATGCCAGAGCGAATCCACTGATGGACCGAAAAGTGCTTGAGGTCTCCTCTCTTTCTCTCTCTTTCTCTGACTATCTACTTACCTACCAGCCTATCTTCTATGTATCTATCTATCTATTGATCTATCTATCTCTCTCTTTCTCTCTTTCTCTCTTTCATCTCATTACCTATCTACCTATCTACCTATCTACCTATCTACCTATCTACCTATCTACCTATCTACCTATCTACCTATCTACCTACCTACCTATGTACCTATCTACCTATCTATCTATCTATCTATCTATCTCATTCTATCTCTCTCTCTCTCTCTCTCCCTCTTTCATCTGTCTATCTGTCTAGCTGTCTACCTGTTTGTCTATCTATCTGTCTATCTGTCTACCTGTCTATCTGTGGTGCAATGTCATTCAGTGTAATGTAGTGTAGTGTAATGTGGTGTAGTGTAGTGGAGTGTAGTGGAATGTAGTGTAGTGTAGTGTAATGTAGTGTAGTGTAGTGTAATTTCGTGTAGTGGAGTGTAGTGGAGTGTAGTTGTGTAGTCGTAGTTGTAGTTGTAGTGTAGTGTAGTGTAGTGTAATGTAGTGAAGTGTAGTGGAAGGTAGTGTAGTGTAATGTAGTGTAGTGTAGTGGAGTGTAGTGTAGTGTAATGTAGTGTAGTGTAGTGTAATTTAGTGTAGTGGAGTGTAGTGGAGTGTATTGTAGTGGAGTGTAGTTGTGTAGTTGTAGTTGTAGTTGTAGTGTAGTGGAGTGTAGTGTAATGTAGTTTAGTGTAGTGGAAGGTAGTGCAGTGTAGTGTAATGTAGTGTAGTGTAGTGGAGTGTAGTGTAGTGTAGTGCAGTGTAATTTCGTGTGTGGAGTGTAGTGGAGTGTAGTTGTGTAGTTGTAGTTGTAGTGTTGTGTAATGTAGTGTAGTATAGTGGAGCGTAGTGTAGTGGAGTGTAGTGTAGTGTAATGTAGTGTAGTGAAGCGAAGCGACATCTGAACCTCCAAAAGTGGCGCGAACATGTAGCGTTTTGTACATTTTGAGTTGGAAATGTGCTTCGCGCATCTTCGCGCCACAACGGCGTGCACTTTTTCGACATCTGAACCTCCAAAAGTGGCGCGAACATGTAGTGTTTTGTACATTTTGACTTGGAACTGTGCTTCGCGCCACAACGGCGTGCACTTTTTCAAAACTCGACATCTCAGACTCCAAAAGTGGTCCGAACATGGTGTGTTTTGGACATTCTGACTTCGAAATCTGCTTCGCGCCACAACGGCGTGCACTTTTTCGAAACTCGACATCTCAGACTCCAAAAGTGGTCCGAACATGGTGTGTTTTGTGCATTTTGACTTGGAAATGTGCTTCGCGCCACAACGGCGTGCACTTTTCCAACATCCGAACCTCCAAAAGTGGCACGAACATGTGGTGTTTTGTACATTTTGTACATTGTATGATAGAACATCGTTCAACATTGTCCAAACCATTTCATTTAGTCTAATTTATATAACAACTTGTGCAAGGGAATGTGTGCCCATATATATATAAATATTATATATTACATATATCTACATGATGCAATATTCCAATGGTCCTAATGGTTCTTGTTTATTTGCCAAAGGTACTTTGCAAATTGACCTTTTGACCGAAGCTGCGCCTGTCAACCTCGTTGGTCTTGCGAGTTCCAGCGGGCGCTTGAGCACAGCACCTTCGCATGCCTTCGCATGCGCGATCGTTTGAGCCCTGGCCGGCTGTGAAATTCCGTGTGTAATGGCCTGCAAGGAGAACACTAGAATAGACTGGATATAATTATATACATACATACATACATACATAGATACATACATACATAGATACATAGATACATAGATACATACATACATACACACACACACATACATACATACATAGATACATACATACATACATACATACAGATGTTACATACATACATACATACATACATACACACACACATATATATATTGATATTATACCCACAATATATATATATATATGTGATATATTCAAATAATCCCATTTGGAGGTGTTTTATATTAGGAGGATGGGATTAGAAGAATGATCCTGGAGCAAGCATCACATTGCAATCATTCAGACACGGCTCGTGAAAAACAGGCAGATCCGCTGTAGCGCGTATTGTTTCGTGATATTTGAAAGGTGTGCTGAGCCCGGTGGGAGGCTCCTGATATGTGCTGAAGAAAATTCCAAGTATCACGTGTGATGGGACAATTTCACAACTGTCTTGGCAAGCCACACTGCCGCGGGTAGTGAAAGGGGCTCCAAAGAACTTGCAATGGTAGTGCCTAGCACTGCAGCATGGCATTAATTGTGACATGCAGACTTGGTGTCTTCCTGATCACCCGCTCTCATTCCACACCTGTTTATCAGAAACTACTGAAAAGCCAACCAGCACCACCAGCACAAGCCAAGTGTATGTCAAGTGTCAATCTCACCCTTCGACTGACTGGTGGTTTTTGTCAATGGAATGTTTCCACATCCATCCTAGATTTTTAAAATTATATAGTTATATAGTTATATGATTCAATATTATCTGCAGGAGTAGTTAGGAGCCCCTCTCTGCCACCTTAAACCGGATGAGCACGACGTCAGAAGCTGCTTTCCCAGGTGTTGGGCATTTTGGCTGTTTACTTTAATGATCTTAATGTGTGCACAATATTGATGTACATGACATGGTGAAGAATGTTTGCAAGAAAATCTGCTTTTGGTTTGGCCCGTTTGAAGCTTCGCTGCTGCTTCGCGGCAGTGCCTGAGGCAAGGCACATAGATGTCAGAGCTCAGGGGTTTTGCCCCAGCCCCAGGAATTCCTCTGATTTCGAACGGCTTCTGCAGGGACAAAATAGCTAGTCTCTGAAATGATCCATGACATGCCACAATTTTTTTAGAAGGATGTCCTTTGCATTTCACACATTCATTGAATGAATCAACCACATGTCAACATGTCAGCCGTTCAAACAACCACAGGGCGTTGGGCGTTGCAGGACCTTCGTGGCAGGTCCTTTTTGCTTTTTTACGAGGGTCGCTGCGGTGGACTGCAATCGCAGGTTCATGATTTAATATGCTTTATAACATTTAGATTTAGTACCCGGCCAGCAAGCAAGTATCCAAACATTTGTCCAAACATGTCCAAACATGTCCAAACTTCGAGCTTTAGCCTGCGTTTTTGTTGGGCTGAGTGGTTGTTTGGCCACGTCAGCCATGTGTTCCCATACAGAACCACTGCAGTGGCCCGGCACCAGCCGAACTTCGACCCTGACAGCAACAGCTCGCATGCGTCGCGTGGGTTGTTTGCTGGGAGACAACTTCTTAGCTCCCCAAGACTGAGACTGATGGCAAGAATGGAATTTCTAGGATCCTGGCATTTGACAATTTCGATCCATTAGCATCCACTACCAGAGATAGCAGTATTATAAAAGCACGAAACATCACTCTGTGTGGAGATTGGCTCCTTGCCAAAGCAGCAGAATTTCTGCATTCTTAAAACTAGCTTAGGAACGGGAAATGCACAAACAAGATGGCGTCAAGTGCAGTGCTTTTATCAAAGAGTTGGCATGATTTGACGAACTCTGTGTGTGCCCTGTGGGCCATCAGCTTGGGGTTGGTAGGAAGTCCAGGGACATGTTGCAATCAAATCCAATCGAATCTAGCTAGGTCTTCTGTGACCCTGCACTGTCCCTCTCGGCCTGGGAGATAGTGCAAGTGTCACTTTTTCAATTCGGCGGCGGCATCAGCAATAACATTTAAGAATGCAATAGTAGACTATAATTGAAGGAAGTTTAGAAGTCAAACTTCCGACAACATGGACAGATGGAAAAGCAGAGGTGGGAAGAGTCAGAGAAGAGAAGAGAAGAGAAGAGAAGAAGAGAGAAGATCAGAGAAGAGAAAGAAGCAGAAAGAAGATGCAGCTGCGCGAAAAGGTAGGAAAGTCGCGAAACACTGTGTTTTTCCAATGATTTGTGGCTCCGCGGAGCCATCTGGCCAGATGAGAGATGAAAAATTGCACGCCGTTGTGGCGCGAAGCACGTTTCGAAGTCAAAATGTGCAAAACACAGTTGAGAGGTGGAACAAATGCACTCCGTTGTGGTGCGAGGCAGATTTCGAAGTCAAAATATTTAGACAAAACATGCTCGTACTCGTAGCACTTTTCGGACTTGAGGTTGAAAAAGTGCACGGGGTTGTGGCGCGAAGCACATTTCGAGAGTGTTAAAAAGACCTCATTGTTGGCACGCCTTTGGAAGTTAATAAGGTGTTCAAAAAGTGCGCACCGTTGTAGCTTGAAGCACATGTGGAAGTGAACAGACAAAAAAAACACCACATGTTTGGACCGTTTTTGCACGTTCAAGTGTCGTTTTGTGTGGCAGGCGCACTTGGGTTCAGCACCTTGCCAAAAGTCAGCAAAACGTGGGGGCCTCGTGGCAGTTGCAAAAACGATGGCAGGTGTGGGACGTTTCAAGCAGACCTGAAAAGATGCATTTCGCGTGGCAGGCGCAGTACGAGAGACATCTTCATCAAAGATGTTGGGAGGTCAGGGCGCTGATTTCTCGAGAGGGGCTGCATTTTGGAGCATCAGATCCAGGTTTGCTAAGATGATTTTGCGTGACAGGTGCAGCACTTCTTTTTCGTGGCAGGTGCGGTACTTTAGACTTTAGACAGATGGAGTGGACAAATCAGAAAACGCATTGGCACGAGGCCATCAGCTCTGCACTCAACGTGCGATTTTTGAAGGAAGTCTCGCAGAATTGCCTCGTTTTTGATATTGTCAACTTCGAAAATTGAGAAAGTCGCGCAGAATTGCTGCGTTTTTGATGTTGTCAATGTCCAAATTTAAAGGAAGTCTCGCAGAAAAGCTTCGTTTTTCAGCTGTCAACTTCCAAATTTCAATGAAGTCTCCCAGGATAGCTTCGTTTTCAAGCTTGCAGATAGACAGATAGATAGGCAGATCGACAGACAGACAGACAGGCAGACAGACAGACAAACAGACAGACAGATAGACAGACAGATAGACAGACAGAAAGAGAGAGAGAGAGAGAGATAGATAGATAGATAGACAGATAGACAGATAGACGGATAGACAGATAGACAGATAGACAGATAGACAGATAGACAGATAGAAAGAGAGAGAGATAGATAGATAGATAGAAAGATAGAAAGAAAGAAAAAAAGAAAGAAAGATAGATAGATAGAAAGATAGATAGAAAGACAGCTCGATAGATAGACAGACAGATAGAAAGACGGATAAATAGATAAATAGATAGACAGATAGATAGCCCGACGTTCCAACCAAGTTCGATCCATCAGTGGGTTCGATCTGCCATCCATGATTCACAACAATAAAACCCTCCTATAGGTTTCCTACCTTTGAAATTTCCGCCACCCCCTTGTGCGGTACTACTGGTAACCAATGGTAACCAATGGTAACCAATACAAACATAAAATCGATTCAAACCGTATGATCTTGGTACGCATAGTCGTGTCGCTACCGGTGCCGTGAGCCTTTGAAGTGCCACGGACTGTTTCGAGGCCCCATTTGTCATGGGCCGGTGAATCGTGCTTTGGGACATGGTGATCATGAGCAATAATCTAGGTAGAACCACATGTAAAGATGCTATTACAATATGCTACAATATTGGCCGAAATTGTTATGGCAACAATTCAAAACAATCGTCAACGTTCGGACCCTGATTTGTGTTGGCCTTCTTTTTTTTTGCAGCAGGGCTCATGATGAGCGGTTCATTTCAACCGCCACTTCAACTGCATGATTTTCCGCTATGTGAACAAGAGTTCACGTGGCTTGCCAGTATATCTTTACGAGGGAAACCTTCACTCATCTTCAATCATTCAATCAGTACCTTCGCGAAAACATATTTGTTTGAATGTATTTTCTGTATGACATTTGCCATTGGAATGGATAATGTACTGTTTCTACAGTGCCCTCTAAGCATTTGATTGCACACAATGCGTATCCGGGGTAGCTCAGTCAATCGCAGTCAATCGACGAAGCACCTTTCGTCTAGGGGCACCGGAAGACTCAGCTCGGCTACTGCCCCCAGCCAGTGCAATGTGTTATAGAAAAACCGCTGCAACTCCGCAACGGGTGCAGAATGGGTGCAGACTACCAAGCACTAAATAGTGATCCTTTTTACTGGTCAACTGTATTGGCAGCTCCGAGTAGGGAACCTCAGTTTCGATTGCAATATTGGCAATGTGGTTGCCATGTGAGGTAATGTGGTTGACAGAGGCGCCACAGTCATGCACTTGGGGTGGATGCGGCTGCTCTTGCGGGTCGCATTTCCTACTTTGATGCAGCAGTCATTGAAAACCGCCAGGGGAGCTGGAGAAGTTGGTCAAGGCAATCAGACTGCATCGGCGTCGGCTTCGGGTGTGCATGGTGTCACGATGGTGGACAACTATGAATGATGGGAAATCATGGGAAATCATGGGAAATCCATCCTCAAAAATACAGTAAATACATGTAAATGTGTTGAAATTGGGGGGTTATCATGGTGATCATGGGAGGGTCATGGCATCATGGGGCCTGGGTTTTATATGCACATGGATTATGCAGCATAATGCATGACATCGGATGACTGTCGCCATCTGCCTTGATCGACCTTTCAGGAGGCGGAACGCCAGCGGGGGCACAACGGAAAGAGGTGAAGGACTCAGCTGAACACAATGAACTCTTGGTGAGGTGACCGAGGCGTGAGGTTTTGAATGTTTTTCAATCATCCGTGGTCTAGTTTGAGGTCTACTAAAACCTATTAAACTACCAGCCGGCACAAAACTACCAGCCGCAAATTCATGAAAAAAAATTGCGTCAAGGAATCATCAAGGACACCATGGCCCATGGCCGGAACTCTGCAGGGCTTCAGCCAGTTGGTTTCCTTTCTGCCCACTTTTCAACTTTAGGCCCGGAGAACTGACGGTGGACCTGCCTGTCCCATGGGAGCGATGCGAAAGTAGGTTGGGGGCGGCTTGCTGGGTCTGGATCCTGCAAATCCCCGCGAGTGCTTGAGCAGGTCATGTCAACACAATCTTGTAAATGGATGTAAATGGGCTTTACATATCAAAGAATCCTGTTTTTTTTTTGAGACTTTTTTGCACATATTGCAAATATGGCACAGTGCGCAGAATGGTGCGGAGTTTTGGCACCGAGCCTTCAAAGAACATCCTGCAGCCTGCGGGCTCAAGGGGCCGCCGGCCGACCGTGCGCCTAGAGCACGGCCCTACAGAGGGTCGCTGCAGGTGGGCTTCATGTGGGCTTCGCCCCTTCGTCCCTTGTGGATGTTGGCAGATGTTCAGTCTGAGATTTGACAGTCGCTCCTCAACCTCACCAAGTTTGACAGATTTTACAGTGAAGTTTGCTTAGTGTGCAACGAGACCAGGCATTTTGGGATGGTTTGGGCGGACTTGCCCTTAAAGAAAAGGTCTATATTTGAACCGCACAGTCGGGTATTTTTCCATAAGAGGCAACCTGAAATTTGGCATCTAATAAGTATACCACAAAGGCTCAGTCTTCACCAATGTGAGGATTAGGCTGACGCTGGTCCATACCCCCTTGCGCAGGCGGCCACGAGACCAATGAAGAGAGCAGCCACAACTGCACTAGTCACTGTCACCACTGGAATTGAGCGTCTATGGCGTCTATGTCTTGTTTGGCACACTTGCATCACTTGCATCATCGTGTCGATATGTGTTGATATGTGTTGATCTCGTATGTCCAAACAGCAGCAGTTTGAAATTGTTGGGGCATTTTTAGCTGAGGCAACCTGCATGCTGGCTGTGCTGGCTGTGCTGGTTCTACCTGTTCAGGGAGCCAAGGCTTGGGTCTTGGGAGTCGTGGGGATGGGGTTAGCGGGTTACCTTTTTGCTCCGAAGAGGTCGGTGCCCAATGTGGCATCATGACATTGGTGCATCATGTTCAGAAAGATATGTTGTGTGATCCCCACAGTGGCATATATCCTGACTGATATATATATATATATATGTATATTTAATATATTCTTACATTCTATTTAATATATTCTTACATTCTATTTGACATATATTCTGACATGCTGTCTGGCTGATTTTCTCTGACATTCTATCTGATGTTTTACCTGGCATCATACCTGACATTCTATCTGTCTAATATTCTGACACTTTATTTGACATTCTATTTGGCATTCCCTTTGACACATATTCTGACATTTTATTTGGCCTTCTACTCGGCATTCCCTTCTGACATATATTCTGACATTTTATCTGGCATTCTGGTTGGCATTCCTATCCAATAGATAGATAGATTGATAGATAGATAGATAGATAGACAGACAGATAGATAGATCTGGTATTCTATTTGACAGATATTTTGGCAGTCTATTTGGCATTCTATCTGATATATATTATTAGTATTATTAGTATTATTAGTATTAGCATTATTATTATTGCTACACATATTGTTGATATTAATATTATTATTACCATTTTTACTTTTACTGTATCATATTATTTTGACACATATTATTATTACTCATCATATTATTATTACCTTAATTTTTACTATTATCATTATTACATATCTGACATACTATCTGACATTCTATCTGACATTTTATCTGGCAGAAATTCTGGCATCTGTCCTGGCATCTCTGAGATTCTCTTTTTTGCATGTGTTCCGGCTGCCTGCCTGCCCTGCATCCAGAGCTCGCTGTGAGCTCCGGGTCCATTGGTGTCTAGAGACCATCACCTGGGTGGGGAAAAACATGGCCAGCAGCCAAGCAAAAAATGATCAACAGACGCTGGCCTCCAGTTTTGCTGATTGGCCGAGGTAACCAATGTGGGCCCAGAAGCAGCAGCAGCCCAGGCAGCAAGTCCCAGAGATCTGCTTTTGGCTTCCCGAATCTTCTACGATTTGTAGAGCAGCGCCATGGATGTTTCAAGTCTTCAATGTTTGGCATATTTTGTATTGGCATGATATTGGCATATCTTTTTATGAAATTCTACATCTATCTGAATCTATCTTCCCTCCCGGTGGCCGGTCGGACCGGTCGGAAGATGTCGGAAGCGACCCGCTGGGAGGCCTTCCGCAGTCTGGACAAGAACCGCGATGGAGCGCTGACGGCGGACGAGTTAGAGGCCGAGATCTTTGTGCCTCGACGACTCGACGACCTGGATCCAGATCCAGATGGCTGAGTTGGGGGATGATTGGTATGTAATGCATTGCAATGCACATATGTCATACATATGTCATACATATGTCATACATATGTCATACATGTATTTTGATATATTTTGATTGTTTGATTGCCTTTTGGCCCAGGTGGTTAAGTAGTACAGTATGCCCCATTATTGAGGAGAATTTTGATAGACTGAACGCCTTGCAGGGGAAGAAGCGGTCTGTGCTGAAAGACTTTTCCACCGGCAGTGGTACTGAGTCTCTCCGTTGACTGAGGCCTCTGCACACGCTTCAGTCACCTGCACGCTCCTTGCCGGCAAAGAATGCTCAGCTCTCTGAGGTTCTCTGCAAACTCTTCTGCAATGTTTTTGGGTTACCGGCCCCTCCTGACATTTGAGACATGTTGACATAGACAAAAAAAGTCACCAGAATTGGAATTGCCAGTTGCAACGAATGTTTGCAGCTCTGTTCAGCTCAGTTTCTGAGTTCCTTTCGCGCCATTTTTGGCGACCCGAACAGACCGGGCATTGCCAAAACGGTGCCGACCCGAATCTTTGACCGCTGGCACGGTGAAATCACAGGCATCACTTGCCGAGCTCGGAGGAACCTGACGTGAAGATAGAGAGATGTGCTAAGCAAGAATTCAATTTTCCCCCACAGGGGATGGAAAAGGATGATCTTTGGCTGGTGAAAAAAGAGATCAAGATGATCAAGGAGGAGATGGAACAAGAATGAACAAGATGTTTTATCGTCAAGTTTTGATGTTCCTGGCAGGAAGCCAGGACAGCCAGGGTGAAAGCTGAGCAAGACGATCAAGATCGGGACCCAAGGAGCGCCGCCGTCTCACCCTCGACATCCACACGGCGAAGAAAGAAATCGCTGATTCTGTGAAGGTCAAACATGAAAGAGGATAAAGATGGATAAAGATGGATAAAGAGGAAAGTGTGCTGAGGATATCAATCTTGGCAGGGAAGGATGGAAAGGGATGATCTTTTGAATCGGCTTCGAGTTCAAAAGGAAATCGGATCTGCGTTCTCCACAGTTTCCTTGGCCCAGAAAAAGGTTGTAGCGCCACCCGCAGACATCTCATCCGCAAGAAGTAAGCGCACGTTGCATTTTCATGGCCCTCGGTCGGAAAGCCATGAGGACAGTTGAACTCAGTTGTGAGAAAGAACAGGCAAATTGGAAGTGAATTCACTGGATCAGTACCACACATGGGCTACAAGGTACAGACAATACTTTGGAGCCGATCACGAATAGCTTAGCAGTACCCAGAGTGAATGCACCACAAAGGTTTTGAACATCAGGTTCTGATTCATTTTTGTCTCTTCCTTTGTAGCCTGCAGCACAACTTCGCTTGGGAGGACTCTTTGGATGCATTCGCTTAACTAGCAGGGACCTGGGCGAAGCAGTGCATGGCTTTTAGGAGCTCCAAGATTTGGAGCACCAGGCGAGGTTGTCGTGGTATGTACGGTATTCAAAATCATTCACACCCTCTTAGGCTGATTGAGCCGTCCAGTTGCCAAAGAATGAACAAAAGATGCGAGGTGATGCATTTATCTCAAGTATTTAGTCCATTGTCACCAGTCGAATTTCCCCAAGGGAAAAAACTGTCCAGATTTCACCCTGGGGTTGTTGCGTCTATCAAGTTTCTGCCGTTGCACCGTTGGCGATGCCTTGCAAGTTATACTTGATACATCTTCATACAGCTTAATACATCTTAATACATCTTAATACACTTATCATTTGTTCAAACATGGTGGCACGAATGGTCACACGCCTTATCAAGCAATACAGGCAGCAAGAAATCTCCGTGCGCCAAATGCAGGCCCTGTTGCCCTGGAAACTTCTTGGGGTCAACGGGAAGCCATTGCCTCCGATGGATGCGCCATGTGCTGCGTCCTGATGCGTCCTGGGCATGGCTTGCGGCGCTTGCAGCGATTTCACGATTTCACCATGGCCTGCAGAGAGAGGGAGGCTTCAGAGGCATGTTGAAGTGGGTCGCCATGTTTCTGGACCTCTTCCCTGGACTCAAGCTATACTCTCCCAGAAGGAATCTTTGGGAAGTATTAGTATAGTATAATGTACACCTTATGGCAGCGCGTGCAGAGAGGACGAGAGAGAGAGAGCGAGAGAGAGGGAGAGAGAGAGAGTTCCCGGTCTCCGGTCCCTTCAAGTAGAGGCATCTCAGACATGTCTGACAATGATGCCACCCCACGGACTGAAAAGGCCCAAGAAGCCCCAGCTGCAGTTGCTGCCGCTGAGCATCCCCCAGCACATTGTGGGGAGCAGAAACCAGCGCGGTTCATGAGAAACAACCTGGTGACGCAAAGTGGTGTTCCGAATGTCCAGGCGTGGGAGGTCCACGGTAATCTTGCCTTTTGAGTCTCCGAGGCCCAGGCCGACGCAGCAGCTCTCGAGGCCGCCAAGGCCTTCCGTGCAGAGCTGGTGGAGAAGGGCATCCTCAGCGAGCCGAAGCCCCGGGACCCCAACTTCACCAGCGAAGTGCCGAGGGTGAAGTGGGACAAGAGAAGGCAAAAGTATGCAAAAGTGGTATGTGCAGATTTCCTCAAAGAAAGGGAACATCGAAGGCGGCTACTTCACCGAGAAGGCAGCAGCCGAGGCCAAAACACTGGAGCTCAAGGAGAAGGACTAGCGCCAGGTGAAGCCCATGGCCACCCTGGCCCGGTGTTCCACCCCAAGGTGCCCTGCTCCGGGGTCGGTTGGGAGCAGAGGTCGCAGCAGTGGCATGCTTGTAGCAGAGGTTGAAATTTCTGCATCAAGCCCAAGGACTCGGAGGAGGAGCTGGAGCGCTTCCAAGTCACTGTGGGATGGAAGAAGAAGCAGGAGAAGCAGGAGAAGGAGCATGAGCAGAGCGCAAAAAACAAAGCAGAATCCAAGGCGAAGCCTCGGAAGCACAGGTGAGTCCAAAAGGATCCAAAAGGAACCCGCAACAGAACCGGCCAATGGCATGTGGCATGCTCCACAGAGGCCAGCAAAAAGGAACACCAGCATTGCCATGTGCCGGTTTGCTGAGATCAAACCAGTTGGGACACGAGATTTCATTCCTCAGAATGACACATGATTGATCAGCATTACTTGCCCTTTTTTGTGCATGCTTTCCAGAGCTGATGTGATCTAGAAATCTAGAATCTAGAGGTTTCATGTTTTCAGCAGGTGCCCATGCCAATTGCGTTTGTCGTTTTTGCAATCCCCCTTTAGATTGGCATCGGAACCCTGTTGCTCTCACAGTATTGCTATTGTGTCAACAGCCCTTCGCCCATCACGCATATACTTAACCTAACATTGGTCAAATGCACGAAACATCAGCTAAGCTATGCTAAGCTGGCTTCATAATGCTGAGGTATCATGCTTGTCCGGAAGGCTTCAGAATGAAACCAGGAGACTTGTGGGATCTTGGCCTGTCCAGTCCTTATTCACAGGACAGAGAACCATCCAACATTTGTGATGGGGACACAAGGTAGTGATTGGCCTATTCCCACGGACAAGGATCACTATTTTGCATCTATTTTAAATATACTTAACTTTACTTAACTGTTTTTTCATCACATATTCCTGTCATTTCCTGACATTGTTGACTTGGTGGCTTACGTGGCTTACATCATGGCCCGTGCTGGTCGACTTGGTGGCATTCGTCAGATCATCATTCGTCGCCGGCCAGGAGCAGCAGAGATTGTCGGGAACAATGACCTGGACTGCTGTGATAAGACTTGTGGCACGGCTGAAGATCAGTACCCTCTGGTTATGACTAACATAGCCATGGAAAATGGCCCATTTATAGATGATTTTCCCATTAAAACCTCCATTTATGAGGGATTTTCCATGGCTATGTTAAATAACCAGATGGTAAAAAAAAAGTTGATACACACTGAGAGTAAACTGAGTAAACTCTGGGTGATGGTGGCCATCCCAACCATTGATGCGTCTGGAGCCAAAACCTGCTCATGATTTCTGAGGTAGACTAACTCATTGCACACGTGTCCGCATTCGCCCAACATTTGGGAGATGGTCGCATAGGTTTGGCAGAGCATGATCCATTCCCATGCAGTTCTCCTGATTGCCACCTGAAGGTCAAGCGCAATCCTGCAGCAGAACTGGCTTCCGTTTGAGGCCGGCGGGCGCTTTGCCACCACCATGTTCTTGAAGACCCATGAACAAATCTCAAGATAGGATGACAAGATCATCAGTGAAGCAAACCCAACATGAGGCCTTGAGGGCTTACATCCCAAGATCCATCCAACATCATCCAAGTAATGGTTGATAAGTTCTGGGATTTTGTCTGAACATATGTATACTATACCCATGGGCACACCACCAGACCTACCCAGACGCCCCCAGCTTGATTCGACATATTTGCCAGTATTCCATTATCCTTAACTCTACCTGATTAGTTTTGGGGTGAGACCTAGTTGTTGTTGGTTTTCATCCCTGATATATACATATGTTGTACCTACCTTAAAAAAAATATAGATGATAACTGATAACCCAGTTGTACCATCTATATCAATAGCAAGACATTTATAGAGAGAGAGAGGATATGTAGATATGTGTAGATGCAATATTCATTAATATTCATTACTGTAATATTCATCAATATTCCATCTATTCTCCAACAACCCCAAGGTCCCTCGTTGGTCAGATCCTTTTCGTTTCCGAGGCCGGACGCATCCCAGGTGCTGGCCACAGCCAGCGCAGAGTGTTGCGAGAAAACCTGTGGTGGCTTCGAGTGTCCCAACGGGTGGAAGGCCCGTCGTTGCATCGACCCAGGATGTTTCTCCTGAAATGGGGAGCTGGTAATTTAACATAACTATGGAACATCACCATTTTTCATGGGAAAATTCACTATAAATGGGTGATTTTCTATAGTTATGTTAAATTACCAGAGGTTATGGGATTGTGGCTTTTTCTCAACTTCATCAAAAGAGAATGACAATTCAGCAATCAACCAATGGTCCAATGGTCCAATGGATCTATCGAATGGGTGGACGGTTCGTGACGCTTCGTGACGGTCCGTGTTGTTCCAGGCGCGAAGCAATCCAGACCAGTGCCGCGGCCGGAGAAACTCTCACAACATGCCCCCTGAGTCTATCGTTGTTAAATGAATTTTGTATCATTGGGTATCCATTTGCGAAACTACTACTGAGGAAATCAAAAGGGCCCGATGCGTTCCACCAGTACAAAAAAAAACTGAGCACATCATTGGCAAATTACTGAGGATTGTGCAGCCGTCGCAGGAAGTTTGCTGCTTGAAGACCTGTGAGCTGCACGTTTGCAATGCCGAGCACGACCTTACCTTGCGGGGTGCAGATCCGGCTTAGCCTTTGGAAATGTTGGGAAGGGGAAGCAAAAGATGGTCAAGAATGGTACCTGGAAAATAGATGACATATGATGACATTGATTCTATATGATTATGACTATCTATATTATGGGCATAATACCACACACACGCACACACACACACACATCTATGTATATACATATACATACACACACACATATATATATATATACACACACATATATATATATATATTACTGTACCTATATAATATGTATGAAACACGAGGGATTTCCTTCACTGAGTCATGAAGCAAAGCCAGCACTTGGAGAGTCTGGAAACCCAGCCGTTGTCGCAGGTGATGCAGCCCTCACTGCTGGCAGCACAGACGACGACTGCTGTGTGCGAACGTGTCGGAGCTATACTTGCAGCACCCCGGATTTTGCAAAGCCCGGTTATACTTTCTGTATCCATGTGCACTTTATGAAAGCAAAGGTTTGCCAAAGCAGGCTAAAGATGGCTAAAGCGCACAATTGTGGCACAGAACGGACGTGAAGATCCGTCATATGTAGTGATAGGACTTGCACTTCAAGAATCAACGCTTCAGTCCATCTTGCCCACACAGTGTCCCTGTGGAAATGTAGGCCAAGACGGCTATTTGTTGCAACTTGGATGCAACACGTGCAGCAAGTGGGAGAGGGGACGAAGAATCAGGATGATAAGGTCCTGTCCCAGCGTGTCCTATTTAGTGGCAGCGTTCTTGCATCCTGTGTCGGGGCTGTTTGGTTGCCAGTCTACATATGTTTGTGTTTTGGTCAGCAATGGTCAGCAATGTAAAATCTACAAATTCAGGAGAAAACATGTTTCGAAACATGGAGGGAGAAGCTTTCATCTGGTTTCATCTCGTTTCATCTCGTGCTTTAATGTGTCGAAACATTGTCGTGAAATCACCGCTCCGAGGCGAAAAGATGCAGCGGACATCACGGGGGGCGTGGGGGGTAACAGTGACGCAGCTTGCTGTGCCAAGAGCTGCGCCCTCTTCAGCTGCGTTGGGAAGTCACTTGTTGGGAAATATTGGGAATGTTGGGAATGTTGGGAATAATGACATGGAAGTTCAAAGTCTTCAATCCTTCTATGCCATTCTCTGCCCACATGTCAAAAATGTCTTGTCTTGGTTGCCCCGTTTGTCGTCCCGTTTGTCGTCCCGTTTGTCCCGTTTGTCCCACTTCTGACTTTTGACTTTATGGCCGCGTGCAGCTGCCACCAGCGAGGTTCACTCTGGTGGATACTTGGCCTGCATGCAAGATCGTGGAAGTGAGGAAGGGATAGCAAGGGTAGCTGAGACGTGGTGAGACCATGCGAAATATGGGGTGCAGACAGTGCAGACACACAGCAGACATTGTATTCATTTGTATTCCCTGAAAGCTCAGAGATAGGGCGACATCCACACAGGCATTTGCAGCATCCCCAGGGGCGGTTCGGAGCGTTGGTCGAATGCTCTCAGGACAGTGCTGCCAACATCGTCGGAGAGAGCGCGGAGGTCTGCTGCCAGCGCTTCGAAGAGACTGAAGTTGAGGAAGAGGGTGACGCCGGTGACACCCCAGCCGATTTCTTTGCGGAAGAATGAGAGAAAGACACAAGACACATCAAGACTTATCAAGACACTTCAAGACATGCATGCACACAAGTTGCGCAGCACATGGCACGCTAAAATTAGCCATTAGTCATGGTGACGTTAATGTTACCGACAATGATCAATTTGGGTATGCAATGAACTTTCCTCCTAGGTATGATTTTGGACATCAGGATGCATCGGGTTTTTATGCACTTGCAACAACCGCGTCGTGAAGTTCATGCATAACTTCTTTGCCAGCCGACTCTTTTGAGATGGCTCGTGACAAAAAGCTGCGCTGCTGGGATGTTTTGTTTCAGCTTGGGATAAGCAGTTTCATGCAACTTCCTACTTTGAGCCGTACAGTATTTATCTACACGCAAAGACCATACACGAACACACACACACACACAAAATACATGCGCACGATATTCATACACACACACATTTACGTATGTAATTACACACGCACATACATTGTACATATATACCAGTAGTACCCGCACGAGGCGGGGCGGAAGTTGCCTTGAAGATATATATAAGACCTTTCTCATCTATAGAACTTGCATGCGCCGTGCGCCAGCCAAGCCCGTGCGTGCATGCACTCTGCGAAAGTTGTGTCCTGCTTCACATGTCACATGTGAAGCTCCACTTCGCACTTCACACTCCACACTTCACACTTCACACTGCACTCTTCGCACTCCACACTTCACACTTCACACTGCACTCTTCGCACTCCAAACTTCACACTCCACACTTCACACTTTTCACTTCTCACTCCACACTTCACACTCCACACTTTACACTCCACGCTTCACACTTCTCACTGCTTTCTTCAGACTCCACACTTCATACTTCACACTTTACACGTCACAGTCCACACTTCACACTTCTCATTGCTTTCTTCACACTCCCCACACTTCTTCACTCCACAGAGAAGCTTTTACACACAGCAAGCTTTCACACACAGCAAGCATTTACACACAGAACACTTACACACAGTGCTTTTACACATGGCAAGCGCTTACACACACACAGAAACTTTTACACAGAGAAGCTTTTACACACAGCAAACTTTTACACACAAAACTTTTACACACAGCAAGCTTTCACACACAGCAAGCGTTTACACACAGTACTTGCACACAGTGCTTTTACACATGGCAAGCGTTTACACACAGAACACTTACACACAGTGCTTTTACACATGGCAAGCGTTTACACACACACCAAAAAAAAAACTTTTACACAGAGACACTTTTAACACATGCACAGATAAGCTTTTACACACAGCAAACTTTTACACGCAACATCTTTTACACACAGCAAGCTTTCACACACAGCAAGCGTTTAGACACAGAACACTTACACACAGTACTTGCACACAGTGCTTTTACACATGGCAAGCGTTTACACACAAACTTTTCCACACAGGAATTGCAGCTCCAAAACCGGATCTCGACGCCAAAGCAGAAAAAAGACGATTTTGAAGCATTTTTTAAAAGGAATTGTAAAAGGAAAATTACTAGCGCCAAAATTGCGAAAATCTGCTGACAAATCACTATCGCAGCCTGGATGCAGCCACTCCAATACGATTTACAATCTTCAGCTGCAAAAGACAATAGTATTACGCATGCAGCCGCGGCGGCAAGCAACCTTGACGCAGCCATTCCAATGCGATCTGCAGAGACTGAGTTGCAAATCACAATAGAACTAAGCGCAACGGCGTCGGAAATTGCAGCTCCAAAACCGGATCTCGACGCCAAAGCAGAAAAAAGACGATTTTGAAGCATTTTTTAAAAGGAATTTTAGAAGGAAAATTACTAGCGCCAAAATTGCGAAAATCTGCTGACAAATGACTATCGCAGCCTGGATGCAGCCACTCCAATACGATTTACAATCTTCAGCTGCAAAAGACAATAGTATTACGCATGCAGCCGCGGCGGCAAGCAACCTTGACGCAGCCATTCCAATGCGATCTGCAACCGGAGATTCCAAAACACCCTATAACTACGCACACACAACCACACCCAAAGCAGCTTGAAGCCACCGTGACACTGCGGCAAAAAAAAAACGATAAACCGACCGCAGCCGCAACCGTCGCACACACGAGGTACCTTTCATCGTCGCCTGCAGCCACTTTACACGGAAAAACACAAGGTTTCGTGCTCCAGCTTCCTCCCCAAAACAGAGCCCATGCAAGATCATGCAGCCACTCCAATGCGATCTGCAAGCACAGATTCCAAAACACCCTATAACTACGCACACACAACCACACCCAAAGCAGCTTGAAGCCACCGTTACACTGCGGCAAAAAAAAAACGATAAACCGACCGCAGCCGCACCCGCCGCACAGACGAGGTACCTTTCATCGTCGCCTGCAGCCACTTTACACGGAAAAACACAAGGTTTCGTGCTCCGGCTTCCTCCCCAAAACAGCGCCCTTGCAACATCATGCAGCCATTCCAATGCGATCTGCAAGCACAGATTCCAAAACACCCTATAACTACGCACACACAAGCACACCCAAAGCAGCTTGAAGCCACCGTTACACTGCGGCAAAAAAAAAACGACCAACCGACCGCAGCCGCACCCGCCGCACAGACGAGGTACCTTTCATCGTCGCCTGCAGCCACTTTACACGGAAAAACACAAGGTTTCGTGCTCCGGCTTCCTCCCCACAACAGCCCTGCAACATCATGCAGCCATTCCAATGCGATCTGCAACCACAGATTCAAAACATAAACTACGCACACAGGTTTCGCAGACCAGCCGCACCCGCCGCACAGACGAGGTACCTTTCATCGCGCCTGCAGCCACTTTACACGGAAAAACACAAGGTTTCGTGCTCCGGCTTCCTCCCCACAACAGAGCCCTTGCAACATCATGCAGCCATTCCAATGCGATCTGCAAGCACAGATTCCAAAACACCCTATAACTACGCACACACAAGCACACCCAAAGCAGCTTGAAGCCACCGTTACACTGCGGCAAAAAAAAACGACCAACCGACCGCAGCCGCACCCGCCGCACAGACGAGGTACCTTTCATCGTCGCCTGCAGCCACTTTACACGGAAAAACACAAGGTTTCGTGCTCCGGCTTCCTCCCCAAAACAGAGCCCTTGCAACATCATGCAGCCATTCCAATGCGATCTGCAAGCACAGATTCCAAAACACCCTATAACTACGCACACACAAGCACACCCAAAGCAGCTTGAAGCCACCGTTACAATGCGGCAAAAAAAAAAGGCAAACCGACCGCAGCCGCACCCGCCGCACAGACGAGGTACCTTTCATCGCCGGCTGCAGCCACTTTACACGGAAAAACACAAGTTTCGTGCTCCGGCTTCCTCCCCAAAACAGAGCCCTTGCAACATCATGCAGCCATTCCAATGCGATCTGCAAGCACAGATTCCAAAACACCCTATAACTACGCACACACAAGCACACCCAAAGCAGCTTGAAGCCACCGTTACACTGCGGCAAAAAAAAAAAGACCAAACCGACCGCAGCCGCACCCGCCGCACAGACGAGGTACCTTTCATCGCCGGCTGCAGCCACTTTACACGGAAAAACACAAGGTTTCGTGCTCCGGCTTCCTCCCCAACTCATCACTTCCCTTCCTCACCACTTCCCATCGTCACCACTTCCCATCGTCACCACCTCCCTTCGTCACCGCTTCCCTTCCTCACTACTTCCCTTCCTCACCACTTCCCATCGTCACCACTTCCCTTCGTCACCACTTCCCTTCGTCACCACTTCCCTTCGTCACCACTTCCCTTCGTCACCACTTCCCTTCGTCACCACTTCCCATCGTCACCACTTCCCTTCGTCACCACTTCCCTTCGTCACCACTTCCCTTCTTCACCACTTCCCTTCGTCACCACTCCCCTTCATCATCACTTCCCTTCGTCACCACTTCCCTTCGTCACCACTCCCCTTCATCATCACTTCCCTTCTTCACCGCTTCACTTCGTCACCACTTCCCTTCTTCACCACTTCCCTTCCTCACCACTTCCCTTCGTCACCACTTCCCTTCGTCACCACTTCCCTTTGTCACCACTTCCCTTCGTCACCACCCGTCATTAACTGCTTCTTATTCTTTTGTTATGTATTGTTATGTGATCTACCACCCTGCATCATTTCAAGTCGCTGAATTCTATTTGTCCGTAACACGGAAGTATTGCTTCCCAACTTCCTTTGATTACAATTATATTATTAATACATATACATCATGAAAAACACCTACTTTTATAGAGGCAAACTATGTACCCTTGAGACTGAGTGCTCTGCGATACTCCGCGTTCGAGTTGCGATCTTTGGCAGGTCGAAGCCAGGACACTTCTACTTCGTGAACCGAGTGGGGGATCCTGGTGACCAAATCTGTGGTAAACCAACGCCGTTAACGGCCGCTTGCCGTTCCCGTCAGGGAAATACAGGATGAATTCCCTTGAAACCGTGAAATGATTGTTGTGCAGTGCGAACTTCTGCCAGTCGGAAGCAGCTTGAAGGATTTTTCAGGCACAAGAGATCACAAGAGCTTCAATTCCAGATCACTTTGCAAAAACCAACTTCATTAAATTCATCCGAAATTCATCCAAAATTTATCCCATTCAGACTTTCCAAATCTTTCCAAGCTGTCCATTGCTGTCCTGCATCGTTTGGCTGTTTGTGCTCATAGCGGCTGCTAGTGCCGGAGACCGGGCCCTCGTGCATAATCCGCGTGCGGTGTACGAGGGACTTGCCACTTGACAGACGGTTTATTCACGGATTTGGTGGAATGCTTCTCCAGAAAGCCCAATGGCTCCAGAACAATTGCGGTGGTTCAGTTCTGTGGAGAGGGTCTTTAAATGTCTGTAATCTAGAGATTCTTCGTGATTTGACACACAGACGCCAGCATTCAGCCGGACTGTGGAGACCAGGTATAGAACCCCGCGTCCGGCCCTGCTGACCCTGTCGTGGTGGCAAGGCACGTTGCACCTTGGCGGTGCACAGATGCGTTGTTTACCTTCAATGGTGGAATGATGGGATCAATTTGGATCAATGATGGTGAAATATGGTGAATGTTGGTTGAGTTGTTAGGTTCAAAATGGTTCAAACATCATCAACAATTTGAAACACCAGGTTGTTAGCCCATAAAACATGATAGGGGCGGGGGGGTTATGAGCAGCAGTACAGGGACGTCTCAAACAATCTGGTTGGTGCATCAAATATGCTTAAGTTTCTTTTTTCCGGTAATCTGAAGCATCTATTGACAAGCTTCTGGGATATTCAGAAGACTGGTGTCCTACTTTTCCTGGTGCTTGGTTGCAGACGGATGTTTGTTTACTCTTCAGTGCCGCATTGAGGTCTAGATGCAATCAGCCGTTGTGCCAGACACCACTTTTACAGATTCAGATATGGACTGGGATGTCGCGCGCGCGTGTCGCCTTGGGCGGCTGTGAGGGACCAAAAGCACTTGGAAGTTGGTGATCTATGGAATGACATCCCACGGAGCAAGATAGTCTACACACGCACATATATATATATATATATATATGTGCAGAGAGAGAGAGAGAGAGAGAGAGAGAGAGAGAAACACAGACGTACTTACACCTGCAGAACTAACATTAGTACATTGCAGCTGCTCAAAGCTAAGTTTCCACCGCTAATAACTTGAAATAGCCAAAGGTGGTTCTCCCCCAGGGATATTTTGAGGACAAGAAACTGCTGGAGCAGTGCAGCGACATGAGCGACGCGGAGACTGTAAGTCCAGTGCCACGGTGGATTCAGCAGAGGTTTCTGTTTTTGTTTCTCCCTCTCCGGTTGGAACAAATCCACCATTTTTGGACTTTCTCGTCGCTGTGTAAATTGTGAGTGTTTTTTTCCCTCAATTGTATGTGTGATACGGTTTCTAATCAGCGCCAAAAATATAGCAGTGCCAATTCCACCCTACGCCGAGCAGCACCCAAAAAAGTACGCTAGATAATGCCAGCTGCAAACTAAGAAGAGCCTGGCTCGACTGAGAAGCCTTAGCACAATGTCCTCCTTTGCTCGCTCATTTTCTCGACTCACCACTTCGTTGCTGGAATGTCCTGATGTGGATGAAGAAGAGGCCCCTTGGACCCCTTGGATGCGGATGCCCTTGGATTTCAATCCCCTTGGCTTTGGCCATGTGCCTTTCGGACTTTGGGATCATGTTAATCATGTTCTTATAATATTTCTGTGATATTTCGTTTTGGACGCAAGGTTTGGGACATGGATGAGATTGTTGAAACAGGGTGATGTTCCAAAACCCAAGCCGCCCAAGCCCTTCACCCAGCCATGAGCCGTGCCGTACATCATCTATATACTGGAATCGACTCCGCTTCCCGGTGTGCTCACAGGAACAGGAATTCAATTTGGTTGTGAAGGCAACCTTCCTAGAATACATTCCTGCTGCTTGGATGCAAGTTGTATGGAAGAGCAGCAACATGTTGAACGGATTGCTGGGGGGCAATGTGGTGGCAATGAAGCACGACCTAAGCACGATGCATTTGATCAAATTGGCAAGTTTCCCCATCAGGTTTTGTAGGTTTTGATGCTGCCGATCTTCTCCATCATTTTCTGAAACATTCTGAAACTCTGTCCCATTCTGTCCCACTGAGGTAAAGAGCAGGTTGAAACGCTGCGAGAGTGACTCAGTGTTAGTCCAGCCCGGCTCTTTGAGTGTGGATCCGGCTGCTACTTGCCGGAATCGGACACCTTTCCAGCAAATCGATGATGACATATGATGAAATATATATAATATATGGCATAACATGCCATGCGGGACTTAATTATATCATTTTGAGGATATGAAAAAGGATATTTCACCAAGTACATGGCATAAGAAGCTGGGATAGGCTGGAAATTTCATGAACATTCTGTTCCCCTGATTCCTGAATATTCCTCAACATGGCAA